AATATTTCAGCTTGATCTAAATCATTTTTTTCAAGATAACAATCACCAAGAAGACTACATGTTTGTGCATGAATTAAATGATTTAACTCTAATTGATATGGAGCAAGATTAAATGCTGCTTGAAAATGAATCATAGCTTCATCTAATTCTCCATTATGATGATACATCCATCCGAGACCATTTTCTATACGAGTAAGATCAATATTATTTCCTTTATTTGTTTTATAAAATTGATAAACTTCTTTTAAAAGATTTTCAGCTTGCATAAAATCATATTGATAACCATAAGTTAAAGCTAAATGATAATGTATACGAGGTAAATCTGGATCATCTTCTTTTGAATGTTCAAGTAAATCAAGAAAATATTTTTGTGCTACAATATATTTTCCCATTTGAAGAAAAAGTTGTCCAAATATAATTGAAACACTTGTATCTGTTAATTCTTGATGAATTAATTCAATATAATCACGTACTGCATTTATACCTGCTTCTGTAGCTTTCATATAAACATTCCAAATTTTTTCAATTGAATCATATTCAATTTTATTAAGATAAAAAACAGTTCCAATATTAAATAAAACTTCTTCTTCATCTTGTAATGCACTTAATTCTTTTAAATATGCACATATAATATATTCCGATCGAATATCAACTTCAATAATAAATAAAACTTTTTCAATATTTTCTGTTCTTGATGTTTTTTTTTGTAAAAATGCCATAGCTACACGTTGTTCGACGCTTGTTGAAATAAATCCATTTAAACTTGTTAAATTTCCAATTGTTTGAAATAAATTATCTAATTCTTTCGATGAAATACGACCACCACGATAAAGTGTTAAAATAGGTGATTGATTTTGATTTGTACGAAATTTTTCATGTTCAATTTTTAATTGTCTACATAAATCAGCAATAAAAAATCGAAATATATACAATGTTTCAATATCTTCCGTACGTAATGATTTATTGAGAAGACGATAAACAAATGATTCTTTTGTATACCAATAAATAGCATCTTTACTTGTATAAGTTTGACGAAATTCTTCTATTTCTAATAAAGTTTTCGTTTTATTTATATCTTGTTGTATCTGTTTTGAACAATAATTAAGCATTATATTCATATCATTTTCTGTACATTTTAAATCACTTATTATTATTTGAAATAATTGAAACCAAAGAAATGAAGCAGAATCATTTGTTAAATCTCTTGTTGTATTTTGTTCTTGTGAAAAAAAATGAAAAACGAATTTTAATTCATCATGTTCTTCTATTTGTTTATTAATACGATTATATAAATCATCAATATTCGTACAAATATCAATAATAAGTGGTTCATATTCTTTAATTAATTCTTTATATTTTGATGAATCTTTAGAGAAAATAAAAACTGAATCAATAATTGGCAACGATTTTAATTCAGGTAAAATTTCTAAACTAAATACATCGGATACAATAAAATAAATTTTTGAACATTGACTATTTTCAACCTGTGGAATGGATTTTAAAAAATCAAGACATAAATTAACATTATCATAGATTCGAATGGAACCTATATTTAATTGACGTAAATAACTGAGAATATTTTTTTCCTTTTTTGAATAAGATTCACCAACACATGGATCAAGCCATACAAGGGTTATTCCATTAGGTAAAGATTCATTTGATAGTTCTTGTTCAGTTGATGAAGATGAAAGAGAATTTTTTTTAAGTTCTTCTTGTATAGATGATGATTTTAATCGTTTACGAAATGCAGTACCCATTTTATTTTTAAATCTAAAATTTATTATCATTATTGATTAAGTTAATATATATGTATATTGAGATATGTCAAATGATATTTGAAATACAAAAAAAAAAAACGAATAAGACAAATTACAAATATGATCAATGTTAAGTTTTATTCGATGTTATACCTTAATTTCATAATATAATGCAACATTCTACTAATTTTGTTTTATTCTTTTGTTCTTGGTTTTCTTCAGTATCACTTTCCAATGAAGGATTTTCATTTTTTTGTGTACTAAAAAATAAAGAATAAATAAAAATTTCAATAACAATATTAAATGTTGAAGAAACTAAGCATAGAAGTGATGATAAACATAAGAAAGATAACTTCATTCTCTGTACAGATATGTATTTCTTAGAATAATTTTATACAAAAGATATATACAAGGTTGATCATAAATAACACTACGATAACAAATCAAAATATCTTTATTTCGGTACGTTTGAAGATATTGACTTCTTTGATTAATATTAGAAACGTATTTTAAGTTTTTCTTTCGTACGAATAACAAAAACAAATACTACTGTCAAGTAAGAGAAATACATATGAGAAGTTTTTTCATAGATAATTTTCAGTTGTCGTCTACGAGAATAAATAAGATTTAATTAAAACCAACTATATTGATATATACAGAGAAAGTTTTCAAAACTATATAGTTAGTTTAAATGCCGAAAATCGTGTTCCATTTAGAAATTGCACCATTCACTACTCTGTGGGCATCAAATTCCTTGCAAAACTTAATATTCCATGTTTGAAAATTCGAACTTTCAAAAACTGTTGGCTTTTAACTAACTAATAGTTTTAAAAATTTGCTCTATTGGCAACAATAATATAGTATCATTCATAAAGTTTGTTTTGATTTCTAATTTTTCTTCTAGATAAAAACTGAATATTATCTATGAAATACTACAGAAATATTTTTCTTACTTGACCCATAGATAAAATTATTTTCGTGATGGGCAAACAAATAATGCATAATAATATTATTTGTTTAGCTCATCCATACGAAATAAAAAAAGAGCTTCTACTACTAACGAAAAAATTAGTCCATTTGATTGAGCATACACGAAGATATTTCGTTTTTCTTATCGTTGCACGATTGAGATAGTTCATCTTGTGTATCAGTAAATCATAAAGATATATATTTGACATAAAATGTAGCGTCTTCAATATTTAATTATATGGAGCATTTGAAAAAAAAAACATATAAATACATACGTTGTTATTATTGTTGGTTGTTGATCAGAATTCTTAACATCTGATTCTGTTCTTACCATTGTTTTTAGTTGCGGAATGATAACACTAAAGAAGTAATTATATAATAAAAAAAAAAAAAGGTTTTTCTATGCTAAATTCTACATACGAAATAGTATCGAGAAATTCAAAACCGGCATATAATGTTGGATCATATCCATATTTAGTTGCTACATCATCATCGGTCATAAATTTTGCACCATTTTTAAGATAAAATTGTAAAGCTGGTCGATTAGCTCGTCGACATAAACCCCAATAGTAAGTATTTGGTGGATAAATATTACGTAAATGTTGTAATAGTTGAACTCCATAACCTCGTCGTTTAATATCAAGACGAACAGCTACTTGAGCAATATATATTGATCCTTTCTTTTCTTCTTTTAATGTTAAAAATCCTAAGATATTGTCTTTTAAATCTTGACATTGATTACTACATAAAATAAAACAACGATATTCTCCTGATAAAATAGTTTCTCGTTCATCATTAAATGTTTCATCAAGCCATTGAGTAAGAGTTTTCTCAGATTTTAAATTTAATTGAACTTCAATTTGTTTATAATATTCATCAAATGAACGTACAAATAGATTACGAAGAACTGGAAATATTGGATCATTAATAGATGTTGGTTTAAATTCTTGTACATTTACATGAACTATCTCAGTTGAAGGTACACTTATTGGAAGTACAGAAATATTATCAACATTTTCATTGAGTTTTTCATCTTAGAATTAATCAATTATATCAATGTGTATTTGATAAATTGTTTACCTTTTAGAGGAATTTCATTTTTTTCTTGATTTTGTTCATATTTTTCCAAAGCATCATCCCATCGACTGAGTTCTTTTGTTTTTTCTAATTTATCGACTTCTTTATTTATATACGATAGAGAATGATTATCTTCATTAACATTTTGTTCTTCTGAATAACTCATTGATACTGTTCGAAGATTTGCTTTATCAAGATCTTCATCAGTCAGATTAGTGATGTCTATGCCTATATAAAAAAATAATAATCATTTAAATCAAATTTAAGAAAAATAAAAATACTCTCAGGACAACGAGACAAATTTGACAATATTGCTGTTGTTTCTACATTATTAGTTTTTATACTGGGAAAAGATTCACCAAAGCTTGATGAGCGTAATTTATCATAATTAAAACGATCTACTGAATAATATGAACATAAAAAAAAATATGAAAATTATTTTTCTTGAAGCAAATTTCATTTTCAACCTGATGCAGACACCTGTAACGGATATCTTGTCGATAATGTATTTTCATTTATAACTGTTGAACTCATCGTTAGACGTAGTCTTTTTTCTTTTTACTTTAGTCAACCTAAAATAATGATAATCATACATTAATTTTTTTATTTATATAATTTACACATAGTGAGTGATGAAAAAGATTTTAGAAAAGATACTTGTTCACTTTTGATACGCTAGAAAATATTCCCGATGCGTCAAAAGTTCTAAGTTAGAATCAAAACTTTATGTTCTTTTCGAATCAAGGATTTAGAAATTAACTCTGTAGAAATTTTTTTTGAAAGACCTGAAAAATTATTTTTAATCGTGAGTCAACAGATTTTTGTTTAGTCTATAAACTTATTTTCGACAATGCTAAAAAATGTCAGAGTCAGTCGAATTGTAGAGCGAACACTTTCCTACAAAACATGATTTGAAAGTAAACTGTACCTCTTCTCATTCAAGAAAGACTACAAGCATTTTTTTAAAAGCTTCTGTCAACATAAAACGGTTTCTGGTGAAAAAGTCGATTTTTTAAAAATAAGCATTTATGAAAAATGAAAACTAAGATGCCTTGGTGAAAGACAAAAAAAAATCCATGAATAATTCAATTTGTAGGAAAGTCTATAATCTACAAGCTGATATAGAAATAAAGCTTTCAACCTTTAGTTTCGAGTTACGATAGTGAAAATAAAAAATATGCAAAAAAGTTTTACGTCTAAACTAATTTTTGAGCTTATCGAAGATTATTCTACTACTCTCGAATAAAAATCGAGACAGAATTTCTAAGCCCATAATCGACAAGAGCATGAAATTGTAGTTGTAACTCATAGCTTTTGATTCGATAGAAATATTTTCTAGCGTGTAAAAAAAGTGAACAAACAGCTGGTCTCTAAGTTTTCCAAACATACGCTACTTGCTTGTTTCAATGACATATACGTCAATAGTAATGTATCTTGAAGGTAATGTGCAATTATAAAAAGAAACATTTATGTACAATAAATGTGACTATTCTATATAGGTGAATATTTTTTTCTTTGATGTCGTCCTTGCATGTCACAGGAAAAGCTATTAATACACAAAAGCGCATGATTCTTGTTTATTTTGTGTTCTATATATCAATCGATTAATATAAAACATGAAAATATCAATAGAATAAAAAATTTCCAAAAAAAATTTTGATTCTGATTTGTCAACGAACATGATGATTCAATATCAAAATCAAAATATGTGTCTGGAAATGGTTCGTTTATAAGTCTATAATGCCACCATTCTCTATCATAATTAATAAAACCAACTTGTTCCATTAGATTTTTAAACATTATTCGTCTTTCTTGATAAGCTTTATTTACAAGTGTACTATTTGTATGTGATGCTTCATCAAATAAATCAAATGAAGATCCCATATCAATAGTACCATCATCTAAATATAATATTTTTGAATTATCTGTTAAATTTCTTTCAATTGCTTTTAATGGACTTTGTACATGTTTTCCAAGTAAAATTAAAGTTAAATCAATTGTACTTCCTCTTGTATGACCAGATTTTTCAGCAATATAACCAAGTTCAAATGTATCTTCTTTATTAATACGTGGATAATAGAAGCTTTTTTTTATTTGTGAATCATTTAAATTTTGACTCCAATTAAAAAATTGATTAACACTTTTTTGTGGACGATATCCATCATAAATAACTAATTCATAAGAATTTTCTTTTGCTAATGATTGTGCTTGTTTTAACGCAACAGCTGCTGCTTTAGTCATGATGGAAACATTTGATAAATAACCATTAACAACATGACCCATAAAATTTTCTTCACTTGCATAACGTAAACTTATTTGTATATCTGGTATAATATCATGTACATAGACAAAACCTGATGGTAGTCTATTAGATAAACATGTCCAATGATGAAAACAGATAAGAAGAGCAAGAATAAGGGTTGCTCCTGATAGTAATGACATTATTCTGCTTTTTTTGTTCTGATATTCTATTTGTTGGATAATATTTGACATTATTTGCTATATGTCATGATAAATCTGGATTATATATATATATATCATCTAAAAGGTAAACCTATGTATTTTAGAATCACTTTAATATGTTTGGTTAAAGTATCGATTCACTCTTTGAAAAAAACTACTTGAAAATTTCCAACTGCGTTTTATTATTATTGTAAAAATAACATGTGGTGTACATGTCAAACATCACACGCTCTGTCTTATTTTTCGTCTTGTTTTTTATTCTGTTCTATATTGTTTATTTCCTTTCTTTTTCTAAAGTGAATCTACTTGACTTGTTGATATTATTCATATAGAAATCATTTCAAAGGCAACTATAAGGTTTTAATTACAAAACGGAATTTATTTAGGGTTCTAGAGAAACACACACTCTATCCAATGATGTACATATGATCAAACTTTGTTATATTCGGTGAGAGAATGAATTTTGATTTGGTTTGGTTTAATACAATTTGGATATTAATGTCAGTATTAAAATTAAGTAGACTCAATCAAAAAAACAAATCATCCTCTCATCGTATGCAACAGAATTAGATAATATAGGCACTATTGAATATAGGATTTCTTCCTCTAGAAACTACATTCTATAGTCAAGGCATAAAATGACGCATAAACGAAAACAAATTAATACAATCCTTGTTAATGAATATGCTGAATAGAGCAATATTTTTAAAATTTTTTTTCAAGCACATTTTTATTTTATTTTCATATGTTGGAGGAAGGGTTAGATGTGCTTTCGAATACATACATTCTTCTGTTGCTTCTTATCTATTTCAGTGAAGATTTATCAAAAATATTTCCTGCACAAAACTTCATATCTGTGATTAATTTCTTATTTCGAAAGAACCCAAATAAATTTTGTTTAACAAAAATACAAACAGATTCAGACTATTGGAATTATATTTAATACTATCAGCGATATTACAAACATATTATTCTGTCATAGAAATACGAAATTAATCGTTGTTGCAATCGACGTTGATATTGTTATCACTTGTCTCTTTTATTGTGAAACACAATCTGAAAGAAATATTTGAATATAGAGAAAAACTGTTGAATTTCATCATGAATGTTGAAATAATATTGGGAGCAAAATCATTCGAAATAGACCATCATTTATGTACCATGTTGTACTACAATTAAAGTTACTTGTCACTTAAAACAATTGTATCAAATATATACATAAGATATTAAGAAAAAAAGAACTTTTAATGTCTAACAAGCAATAATGTTTGTGCAAAGAGAGCATCAGTACTCCTAACACCTACAGAAACTATGATTGACTTAGAAGATTTAGTTGATGAGATCTTCTTTTTCCTTTATTAATATTTAGATCCTATCGATATTCAATTCGATTTTACTGATCTCAATAAATTATTCGAATGACATTTACTCGACTACATACAACACATTAATTTGTAATATATTTCATTGAAACAGTTGTATTTTGTTTATTTTTTAATTGAAAAGCTATATCTGACATTTATACAAAATACCTTATTCTTACTAGTTAACGACGAAAGAACTAATGAAACATCAATTTAGGAAGTACGAATTTGAACTCAACTACAGAAATCACCAATAGTTTTATCTCATGAGATTCACTTTGATGTGCTTGAACATCATATTATTCTGCTGACGTTTAAAAATGTATATATTGGTAGAAAAGATAGTAGAGTTCTTCGAGTCCAACATTTTTGGACCTCGACCTAAACTGTACTTCTAATTTCAGAGAAATTTTCTAGGTCAAGTCTAATATCGCTCTAAACTCTGCTTCCAGCACATCCTACACATTTCTCAGATAATCTTGGCGATAATCCTATAATAATCAAGTCATAATTGACTTTTCTATTTTAATTGTAGGCTATTGGGTCCAACTCAAATCTAGCCAAAAGGAATTTTTCAGACTCGAACTCGGACTTGGATCAGTTCTAGAGACTAGACCATTATTTAGTTGATGAAAAACATGAACGCAACACATTTTTTTATCGAACTCGTCAGTACAAATGAATTGATTGGGAAGAATTTTAAAATAGTTTTACCTCTAGATTGTCTATAATGGTAAGAATTTCATCGAGTATATGACAAAAGAAGTTTCTGGAATTTTCAAGTTTATTAATTATCGTGAAATGTTTACTATCTCTTCATTATTTCGAGAGTTTTGTGTCACACGAAGATGGATCTATAGAACTAACAGACATCAAACAACTTTTTGTCCTTGAGTTTTATTTATAGATGACATAAATGAGTAGTTGGATTTGGTCGATAGTTTTTGCAATGATACAGTGTTTACCTTCGACACGAGAGTGCTTTCGCTTTGAAGAAGCAATAGATGTGTAATTAAACTAGTAGTTTGACAGAAATACATAGGTACTATTAGTTTCGACTCACGTTTAATTGTTTTCAATCAATTCTCGAAGTTTCTTAAAATAATATTTTTGTTTGTTTTTCTATATCTTCGAAACGAATAAAACAATCTTGATCTATATTATTTTGGTTTCATGAAAAACATTATTATATGCAATACTTCGATCCTAAATCTCCTCAATCCTATTTTCATCTGCATATTGATGGATGTTTAAATTTTAGTTCTTTGGTAATGCATTGACTGTAGTAAAACATGTGATCATCGTAAAATCAGACAATAACTAGTAATTTACTAAATAATAAAATTTAATGTTTTTCGAAAATCATGCGTTTAGTCAATTATGTTGATAAATATTCTTTTCTACGGATAATAATTGTTTCATATTCTGGTATTGAACCACTATAATAATTAAAAAAAAAACTAGTGATTTCATATGGGTCAATTACTGTTAGCATGATCTTTTCTTTTGCAATTATGTTAATGTACCTTTAAAAAAAAAACTAAAACCTTGTCAAAATCGAGCATTTACTATACTTGTGCTCAATCTTATTAATATCATTGCTTTCTTGTTCTTCTATTGTAAACAAAAAGAAAGCTGAACGAAGCAGAATTATATGTATATCAGAAAAAAAACTAGTTGTTTAGAGAAGTTAAATAAAACGAAAACTTTCTCATTTGAACCCCATTGATAATAATTTACAAATGAAGAATATCGTAAATATGTATATATATATATAGTTACATTCAATGAATCAAAATCTGACACAATGTTGCCTTTCTCACGAAAATACATACTTAGTATATTTTCATGGATTTTTTGACATTTTAATTCTATACTAAAATTGTGTTGATTATATAAAATTTGATATATAAATATGTATATATAAGTCCTCAGTAGTTATATTTCAAAGAGGAAAGATGTCGTCATGACATTTTTTATTCATAACACAAAAGTAGTCATCTCTCTGGATAATTAAAACACATTAGTGTTCTTGCAGATGTTTTTTTTTTTGTAGCATCAATTAATTTATCATCAAGAGTGTTGTTATTTAAATTACAAACTATATTTGAGTGTCATACACTAACATGCAAGAAAGATATCTCGCGGAAAAATAGATTCTTCAGAACAGTCAGAATGTCTGAGAACATATATATAGAAACGACATGATTGTTTCGTAAATATTGAATTATCTATTGTTTTTATAACTCGTCTTTTTTCACTTTATATCCATAAATAAACGATTATCAAAAGCACAGAGAAAATTGGCATAATAGAAAAGACGACAAATTTGAAGAATTTCTATTCGATTTTCGATAATTAAAATATGTTTATTGCAGCTATAGGAAAAATAAATAAATAGTTATTTATTTGACATTGTTTTAATTATTTTCTAAAATAGTACATTGAAAAAAATCAATACTTTTATTCATTCAGAATTATTATTAATTATTAAAGACAAACTAGAATTTATAAGAAAAAATATTAAAGTAGACATTATATGATTGATTGATTGACAGACGAAAGCTCATTACCAAAAATAATTCCATAGAGAATAATACTAAATCTGACATTGTATCATCACTTTATGATAATATAAAAATGTATAGAAACTCAAAAGAACAATTTATATAGGACTTTTCTGATTATATTGAATATTATTTTTATATCAGTGACATTTTGCAGGAATCCTCAGTCTTTAAAACTTGAAAATATTTCATCATATAACAGATTGATCATTCTAATAAGACGATATACGTGTCATATCAAAATTATATTTTCGATGAAAAACTTTGTTGAAATTAGTTTAGATCAACTATAGATAATAAATAAAAACCAATTGATTGATGATGTTTTTTATTAAAATATTAAGTTAAATATTTATATTCTATTTAAGTATATGACGAACTTCAATCTAATAGAACTTTCTATATTTGATATCATATTGAGACGATATTAGTTTATATTAATGAATAGAATCCGTCATTGAAATGTTTTATTACAGTTTGAAGTATTACTTCACTTCATACTTAATGTAAAAAAAANTTACTGTCACATAAGATTTCCTATAATCTTATAGTAAAATCTTACCGAACAACAAGATCTTTGATGGATCTTATAGTACGACTTAGTATAAGATTGCATGAACCACGATTTTTTGTACGATTTTCGTCTGATCTTACAAGATCATATAAGATCAGACGTAGGATCTTATAAGATCTTACTGTCTAATTTGTCGACCTGGGCTTGTGTTAATGAAAACAGCTAAACGAGATACTTAAATACTATCGGAATTTGTCGGTTTCGACAAGTTCTTACTGTCGGACATCATTGAATCCTATCAACGAAATCCGACGGTATCTGACAGTCGGATAATGTCGAATGATTTAAGAATCCTATTGAATTTCACTGGATGACTTCGATCTGGGTATATATTTTGCAGTTTTTAATCGACTTTTAATTAATTATTAGTCTAAGAGGAATTCTAATGCAAATAGAGCTTTGTTTGACTTGCTTATAGTACATTATTAGAGAGAGAGTTTTATGTAAATAAATAATGACTTTGTTTTTGAATGACATGAAACCATTAGAATTATCTTATAAGATAATCTAGAATAATCTTCTTATCTAATTTCATCTTGTAAGTCTTCTGTTATTCTTTTCCCCTAAAGATGATAGGACAATGGTTAATCTTTATAAAAATTTAAAAAAAAAATTATTTTTATGCTAAATAGAGTTGTTATAATATCTATATATAATTTTTTATAGTTCCGTGACAACAGCTGTTGATATTCCATCATCAAATAATTCATCATCAACTGTTGTACCTCCACAACAAGGTTCAAATGGTTCATCCATAGGTTCAGGTATTGGTGGTGATGAATCATCATCAGTATCATCAGTTGATGATTATTTACTCGATAATGATACATCATCATCAGGTTATACATTAGAAGATCAAGAAGAATTAACTCGTTTAATGTTAGAAGAAGATTTAAATGAACAATTATTAGCAAGTATATTAGATAGTGTTTCACCTTTAGCAAGAATACAACGTGAAATATATCAATCAAGATTTGATGAAAAAAAAACAAATATGACAACAACAATTGATAATGAAAAATGGATTGAAAGTATTATTCAAGGAATACAATCAGCTAATGAGAAACAACAAAAAACAACAACAAATGATACAAAAATCAACATTAATTCAACAACTAAAAACAAAGAACAATCATCGACTTGTAAGAATTTTAATATTAAAGAATATAATGTCTATTTGAAAAATTTCATTTTTGATTTTAACTTTTTCTAACTGCTAGAATCTATAATACATTAGGTCTTGATTAAAATACCATTATATAAAAAAACAGGATAACAACTAGAGATGTGTAGAGTAAGCTTTTTTTCGTGTTCTGTGCCCTGATCGAGAAAAATCGTCTTATATTCTACCCTACTGTGTAGAATACCCACCAAATCAGACAAAACCAACAAAAAATGCGGTATTACGCTTTCGAAAAAACAATTGTTTTTGAAAAAAGAAAGCTATTCTGAAGAAGGTAATGCTTATAAATTTGCTTTCCGGTACAATAAAAATTATTTTTTTACTGTCAAACAAGGCACATTTTTAACATATTCAACCTTTGGAGACGGTGGTACGTACGTTGTACCCCTTATTTTCCGATAAAGGAAATGTCTGCGCTCCATTAAACTGTTATGATATGTAACATAATGGGTTGTCCCATCTGCCATTTCATGCAAATTTTTTCTTTCTTTCTTCTTGTGGTATAGATCCTTTTCAGATATTCTTCTTCCTTTCTGTTAATATACACCGAAATCTTGATTTTTTTCTTTCTTCTCTGGATGCGTTATCATAAGTTTTTTTTTTTGTTATGAAATCATTTGAGTCAAATACAATGAATTGATTGAAAAATCAATTTTCAACTGAACAAAATTCCGTTCGCAGAAGGTTAAAATGAACCATTATCTGATTCTAAGAATGTTTTATCTTACTGTTCCTTAATCATACCCTCATTGTAAGACTCTGAAAATGATAAACAGTATCACGCTAGAGATATGTAGGGTAAGAGTTTTTTCATACCCTGTACCCTGAATGAGAAAAATCTTCTAGTTCTTACCCTACTCTACCTTATAGATCTCTAGTAGCAATGGTATTTCCATTCTTGCAAGTCATTTTATTTTCTCTAATTTATCATTTATGATTTACAAAAAGTAGAGTCAACTCAAAGATGTGATATCATTATTCTAATTTTGAACAAAGGGAAACAAATTGATTTGTTTGCTAGAAATCACCAGAAATTATAATGTCTTAAGGACACGAATAATGATTGGAAATAGTGGTTAAAAATTACCGAAAACTATTCGAACCGATTAGAAACCATGAGAAATTATAGAAAATCTCCAATAGTAAGATGAAAAGTAAAGTCTTGATTTCTATTGATTCGTAGTGAACAGATAAAGACTGATTTTCATTGATAGGGGACTCACCTGAAATCAGACAAAATCAGTTTGTTCCTCCTTAAATGTTTCTAGTAATATATGAAAGATTTAGAAGACTGAAGAAAAAAAAAAACATCACAATTTGAAAACCAACTCATCATGATTTTGATAAATCGACAAAAAAATTCGATTTCTCACATCTCAGTTCCAATAGAAATTTCTAAAAAGTAAATTTATATGAATTAACCTATTGTAGATTAATGTCAAATTTCATCATTTTCAAATTAAGCAATTTTTTTGATTTATCTAAAAGTCTCAATAATGACATAATGATAATTATTTAATTAAATATAAATATTAATTTTAGTTACAACATCATCGGAATTATCATCAAAAAAATCTGCATCAACAAAGTCTAAATCAAATAAATCATCTCATCGTCGTAAAGAAACTTCATCATCAAATTCTTCAACAACAACAACAACAACGACAACAACTACAACTACTACAAATCAAATACCGAAAAAATCTATTGCTGCTGATTTACTTCTTCCACGTTCTATAGCTGATCTTTCAGCTAAAATTCAATCGGTTTCATTTACTGCTGGTACATTTGGTTCAATAACATCAGCAAATGCAAATGAATCTTCCTCATCCTCCTCATCATCAAATTGTTCGACAACAACATTAACAGCTGCTAAAACAACAACATCAACAGGACAAACACGTTTAAGTATTAATTTAACACGTAAACCAGGTTCAAAAACAACTGAACATGGTGGTCAAAAAATAGCTGAAGCACTTTTTAATGAATTAACAAGTTTTGGTAATGGAGAACATTTAAATAATGGAAGAAAAAAAGATAATCAACAATTTAAAAAAACTAAACAACAACGTTCAACTATCAATGAAACATTACTTAGTTTGTATTTTTTTCTTTCTTTCAACAATAAATAAAATTCAATATATAAATTTTATTTTAGATTCTACAAATAATTCTCATTCATTTTTTAATTCATCAAATAAATCCGATTCAAATTCATCATCAACAGCTTATCATAATTTAGATCATCTTCTTCGTCATGCAGCATCAAATACTGATGTATCCGAAGCAGCATTACATTCAATATTATCATCAATTCATTCTCCAACTTGTCTTGATTCATCATCATCATCAAAACATTCAATATCATCGAAAACAAATGAAGCATTACAAACATTACTTGCTCAACAACAGCAACAACAACATCTTCATCATCATCATCATCATCATCATCAAAAAAAGAGTTCATCTAATAATAATAATAATAATAATTGTAAATCTTGTGAATTTTGCTGTTGTGAATCTTCTGAAGGTCGAACTTGTTCAGCATCAACATGTCTTCATTTATCATCAACATCAAATACAACAAATGGACCAATAAGTAGTTGTGTTACATGTATGGCTTTACCAGGTACAACATCATCTGTTATGGGTACAACAATAACAGGTACTTTTAATCAACGTGATGCTGAAATGAAAGAACGTTTAAAACTTAAATTAACGAAAAGAAATGTACAAAATTTAACTGAACAACAAAATCTATTAAAAGATCAACAACAACAACAACAACAACAACAGAAAAAAAATTTAACAACGAATAAAAAACAGTCAATACAAAATAATAATACGAAAACAAAAGAATTTCTTATTAATGATCAAAATAATATTGATGATTTGGTTAGATTTATTGATGGAAATGAAACATTATCATCTAATAATAATGAACATCAAACAACAACAACAACAACAACAGCAACAAATGAATCAACATCGAAAAAAAATAAAAAGAAAAAAGATAAACAATCAAAACTTAATAATAATAATAATGAAGAAATAAAAACAAATTCGCCTCAATCCAAAGAACAACAACAACAACAACTACAACAACAACAACAACAACAAACGACTCAAAAAAAACAAAATCGATCAAATACTATTCAACAAATAGCGTATATATATATTTTATTCAATTACTAGGAAATATCTCATAATCTTTTTATAAATATAGTTCTTCTCAACAACCATCTCGTAGTACTTCATCATCATCATTATCTAGAAAAGCAACGCTTCTTTCATCATCAACTCCTTCTGTTGAAGCTCAACAGCCTTTATCAAAACGAAAACAAAAAGCCAAATTAAAACTTGAACAACAACAAAAACAAGCAGCTAATTCTCTAGATCAATCATCAACTCCTTCTAATATCATTAAAACAACTACTACTCCCACACCAACATATACAGATCTTGTTACGGTTCTTCTTCCACCTTCTTCTTCTGCTTCTTCTTCCTCTTCTTCTTCTTCTTCTCAAAGAACTAATACACCTCGAACAAGTTTTGATCTTCCATCGGAAAGTTTGGATTCACCTGAAGAGGAAGTCAATTGGATAACTATTTCACGTAAACAAACTAAACATAAACCAACGCCACCATCTGTGCCATCTTTACTGGCTGTACCTGTTCCACCTGTTGTTACCCCGACGACGAATACCAAACAATATCGACAACAACAACAACAGCAGCAACAGGTAGCAGCTAATACTAAAAAGACAACCTCAACGGTTAATTCTTCATCTAATGCTCAACAAAAAGTGATACCGACAAGTGTTACATCATCAAATGTTGCTTCGGAGACTATATCAAGTAATAATAAACAACAGCATACTAGTATAGCTCCACCTCGTCTTCAAAATGTATTAAAAAATCATGCTTCACATCAACCACAAAAAGTTGAACAACTAGTGCCACCTCAATCAGCAGTACAATCACCATTGAATCTTTGGACGAACAATAATATTCATGAACATACTCCAGGTATTATTCATCGAAAAAATAATAACTACCCAGGAACGGTTGCTACGGCTTTCCATGTTTTTTTTGCTGTAACTTCGTCGTATACGGCCGTTTACAATGGCATACAATACGAAAACAAGTCTTGTTTCATCGTAATGCTATTTACTGTAATACAGTATTGTATACAACAATATATCTACAGCATTATACGGTCGTATATATGCCATGTTCCCATTAAACACATTCGTAAAACATCAACTTGATTTATGATAAAATACGATGCATAAGCAGCTCGTATATAAACATTTACGACCGTATGTATGTATCTGTAGCGTATATTGTTTAATCAGGGTATACTAAAGAAAACTTGTTACGATTGACTTATTAAGGTTCGAAAAAAAAACATTGATCAATTTTCATATTTTAATTATGAAAATAATAGATTATTTCATCCTTTCATTTAGTAATATCATCAATGCCTACATCTTTTGTCCTGCCATCATCAACCCTACTGCCTACAACACCATCTTATATTCCAACTCATACACCACCACCACCACCACCACCACTACCACCTTCTTCTCTTGTAACGCCAATTCCAATTGGTGGTATATCTGTTGTTCCACCATCATCTTCAATTCTATCTGAAAGTTTATCATCGTCTATGTATTGGGATCCAAATGGTTTTCTTCTTCCACCACCATCTCAATCAATAATTATCCCTTCAACTGCACCAGGTCCTGTGCAACGACCAAATTCTTCGTTTTCAGCAGCACCTGGTTCTGTTAATAATACAACATCTCGTTGTATTCAACGACCTTCACCTGAACCACGTTCTTGTTCAACAAATCCTGCTCCTTTTCCATTATATTCTCCTATGAATTATGCTGTGGGTAGTTCAGCTTCAACGTGGAATGATACTCCTGTAACGAATACAAATGAGTCACATTGGAGCTATCCACAAGAGCAACAACAACTTGGATTATCAACAACTCCAACTGATTTTCCTCTCTATGATCCATTTCATAGTGGTACCGGATTAACACTTCCATCAACGACAGAGAAAACATTGTTGATAAATGGATTTTCAGGTAGATAAATTAATGAGACTAAGTTTTTTTCGTATTTATTTCTATTGTAATTTTTCAAAAGAACATTTTACTGATTCATGTGCTATTCCACAAGATAATGATGTCAATGAAATGGATGTATTCGATAAAGAAATTGAAGATTTTAAAAAGTAAATTATTATCTTTGGATCCAAGATTAATTTTTATTATTTATTTTATTTAAGATTTTGTTTCGAAAGTGTCCCGTTGGAAACACGTGAAAAAATGCAAATTAATGCTGATCGCTGCTTTGTTCGTCAAGCTTGATGAGACTGAAGATTTTTTTTTTAATTTTCTCTCAATTTTGTCGTTTATCTTGTTCGCATTGTACAGATTTATCACATTATGCGAGAGAAAAAAACACATATCTATTGAGAGAACAAATTTATTCTTTACTTATACGCAAAAAATGTTTCTTCTTTTTGCCTTGTGCTTGCCTTTATATCATTACGATATCAACATAAATAAAGACAAATGAAAAAGATAAATATACATTTATATAACATATATGAATTTGACAAAGAAATGATTATGAATAATAAGGATAAGGTGGTGGAGGTCCTGGAATTTGTTGTGTTGATGGATAATTTATTTTGTATTCGATATTAACAAGTAATTGTCCAACTGGTCCATTGTAATAATCTCTTAATGGAATCCATCGTTGTTGCTGAGGAGTCCAATTATTATTATTGTTTAATAAAATTCGTATTGGAATATCACCATGAGCAATTGTTTGTTGTTGATATTCTGTTTGAATCCAAATTAATAATTGATCATTATCAAATTGATAAACAGGAAATGAAAATTGTTGTTGATACTGTCCTAATGGTGTTTGATATCGTTGATGATTACATTCCATAATAACAATTAAGGGACCCCATTGATTTAATCCATCGATATGATTGACACTAATCAATAATTCACCACATCCCATAGATGGCGGAAAAGGTGCTGGTGGTGGCGGTCCATAGGATACTTGCTGTGGTTGAAATTGAGGTGGTGGTGGCGATGTTGAATATTTTGTTTGCGATTGGGATGGTGATGGTTGTGGCGGCGGAACTGGACTGGCAGATGAACCATGTGAATCCTGTTGGTTGTGTTTTCGATTTTTCCACCAACCTTGAGCTTTATCGCATGCTGCATTGACGGCTCGATTTTCCAAATTTGATATAACTACCCATTCAGTGATTCGACCAACGCGACCCAAAAAATCCGACATTTAAAGAAAGTTCTATTCAAAACTTAACAGTGTAGTTTTGTTTGTTTGTTTGCTTGTTCTTCTGAGAACAAGTTTGATCTTTTTCTAACTCTGTTTATGACGGATGGTAAGCCAATAGTAGGAATAGAGAAGAAAAAACTTTTTTCTTTTCTCTTCCTATATTACGTTAACCATTCATATTGCTCTGAATATTGTTAAAACATATTAATGTTCTTTCGGTGTCGAGAAGGAAAAAAACGATGTCGCTTGTTCTTTGTCTGGTTTTATGTGGAGCATTTATCAGCATGAGTCAACGTAATGTTTTTTTTATTCCAATGCTTGCAGATATAATTACTAATGCTTGAAATAATTTAGTTTCCTTCAATATTTCATCTTTGATTAAAATCTTCTGTGCAACTTCGTTTTCGATCAAGCGATGAAACAATAATCTTTAAAGCAATATTTTCTTGTTGGATTAAGGAGAATTCAAATTCTTCTATGCTGTTGTTTTTTGTTGAAAGCGTTTTGATAAATTCAGTTAATTGATGACAATGCAACAACGCCCTCTAACTTTATTCGAATGGGTTAAAATTTCGACCCGGAAATATTTGAAATTATTCTCTACATGTGAAATTGGTCATTTTTCTTTTTAACATATCTATTTGGATTTATAGAGTCCTAAACATCAACATTCTGGTTTTGCATCTGAAGCTTTACGTATTTCTTTCATAAAGAAAAAAGAAAGCAAGATTTTTGAAAAATCTTAAAATCGCCTCTGAGATACAGTCTAAGATATCTCGAAAAAAATTTCCGTTTGATCGAATAAAGTTAGGCTGGTATCGTAAGTAGACTCGATGCAGTCGAAAAACAAAGCCATAATTTCTCGAAGAACTCGTGAAAACCTTGTTTAAAGCTTTTTTTTCGAACACGTGTCTCCTTACTTCAGGTACTGTATCTTTGGTAAAAATTTCATGCGCATCAACTGTACTTTCTTCGAGAACTAAAAATGACCCAAAAAAAGAGGAGGTACCCTTAATTCATACATAAGCTCACCATCACCATCTATTCAATTACACATCATTTCTAAAAGATATCAATCGTTCTGTCATTTTTGGCTAGTTCTCCTCATTACTTTACTGGTAGCTTATTATCCCTGCCCTTTGTTTGTTTGTTGGAGTAGCTCTAGTATATCGATCTCTGTATTGTGTGTATTGAAAACAAAAAACAAGTCAAATCATTTGTAACTGCAGGTAGGGTGAATAATACTTCAAATATTCTTGGTGATCTTATTTCTTTTTTTCTGGTACATATAATTCAGTAGCATTACCACATATAGTTAAATTAAATGAAAAACTGTACTCATCATTAGATGCAAGATATAAAAATAAATAGTGATCTACCAGCTACTCATGGTTTTTCAACAAAATAATTCAGTGGTAATTGTATCATAGTAAATAGAGTTATATCTATTAATAATCGATGAATAAAAATGATGTACTTAAAAACTAAGATTCCTTTTTTTGTTTTGTAGCAACTTAAGTTTGGCTTACAATGTAGACAGTCATTTTCATGATGATAATCCGATCAAACCTTGTTAAATCTTATCGAACATAGATAGTTAGTTAAATGATTGTTTTCATTTAAAAAGCATTCATAAATGCTTCATCATCACTATCGAGAACAAAGACAGATTCTTCTTGATCTCAATCGCTGTTAATTAATACAGCTTTTTATAAATTCTTTTATTTGGAATTGATCAACATCAGGTCTCTTCAATAAGATAATATTTACTACAACAGTACCATTTGAAAATAGAGGAGCAATAACTCATGGTACGTCGTACAATTTTAAAATACATTAGATTGTGTATGTTTCACATCAACATTTACTAAACGTTAGAAATGTTCAATTTACATAGAATTAGATAAATATGAACAGTTTTAAAGAAAAATTTCTGATTTCTTTTGTGAAAAAAAATATTTTGTTGCAGGTAAACGTTATATTGGTAATATATTTGTAACTGAAGCAGCCTATTTAGATGTGATTGAATTGAACAATTTGATTATACTTTTCTTGTAAGTACATCCATCATTTATCATTCTAATAAATCCTCTGAGATGTTCAGATTGGCGGAGACATAATTTTTAAAGTTTTCTGCCACTAAATTCAGTCTACAAATGTTGAATGTCAAGAAAATAATTGACACTATACGAATGATTAACAATGTTATTGTTGCTTCTGCTCTATGAAAATAAAATTGTTCTCGAATGACAAAATATACATGTAAAGCTATTCAATTGTCATACAGACATATTATTTTAATTCGATAATTTCCTTATTGTAATTTGATAGTTAAAGGACAGGGGCGCATAAGAAGCCGATTTGGCCCATAGGATATTTTCAGTCACTTTATCGCCTATCCTATTCAGAAAAATGTGGTGATTCTTTTGGTAATAATTTCAAGTCAAGCTGTGAGGATTATAAGCTATTTTGAGGGAGAATACGTGCAAAAAAGTATTGAAGTTTCATTGGGCTCATAGTTGTCTAGTATTAGCTCAAAATATACNAAATTCATTTATAGTATTCTAAATTATAACGATTGATATATAGAAATATATGATTAGCCAATGGATTCAGTATCATAACTTATATCACTACTTCAACAGCCTAAAAAATCACTGTATGACAATATACTAGAAAAGAAAGTACTACTCGACTAATGGACTAAAGATCAAAGGACTCAGTACCCAGTTGTGACTGGGTCCCAGTCGGACTGGGACCCAGTTCACCAGTCAGAACTGAGACTGGTACATCCCTATTTAACACCATCTTCTATGTTTGAACGAACGATAGAAATAGATCCAATATTATAATAAAAGTACAGGACTTTGTAGAAAAAAATGATCGTGTCGAATGTTGTTCACATATTAATCATTTGTTTAAACAATTTTACATTTCAACTTATTACTATTCCTATCAAATTATAATCAACGGAATCGAATCTCGATCACAACTTGTGTTTATTTAAGGCCACACTCGATAGCATATATGCGCATGTAGACATGCAATTATATATGATGAGAATTCAATTCGATGGCGTAGCACATAACTGATAAAAATGAAATAAACAAATGCGCATATGGTTCGTAAAAAAATTGATTTGCTAGATATTTCCAACACTTTCAACAGTGAATAAAGAAAGAAAAAAAAAGTCAATACAAAACCGTGAATGCCATTAGATTTCACATCTTGCTAACATAAACAAATGTTGTCACAATTTGTCCCAAGAGTTATTGACATTCGTCTTATCGGTTCGTTTTTCATGATAGGAAGAAGTATGTAACAATAGAATTGTATCTTCATTTTTTCATCTTGTAATTCTGGTCATATTGCCATTAGAAGCTAACTTCGATCTAAACTAAAGATTTGTCATCTTGAAATTTCGAGCTCACTTTTCTGGACTACTGTTGAAGACCTATCAGAAACTCCCAATAGCTAGTAATTTTAAGTTCATGCTTTCATTATAAAAATATCAGATAAGAGCCCGTTCTGTTGTCAAGATCACGCCATCCGCTAGCATCATGTAACTGTACCAATATCTACACGTATTAAAAAAAAACTAAAAATTTGAAGTCTAATATAAAAGTCATGTTTTGTAGCTACCTTTATCTGCCTGTCAACAATAGTATGCTTTCATTAATTGAGATACCTTTCACTTGAGTTAAATAATGATTTCAAATATGAAAACATTAAACTTAACAGTTCTTGTAAAAAAAATCAGTCACAACAAAGAATAGATGTTGTTCAATACTAATTGCTCTAAATTACGAGATGATATTAGAAAATTCAAGAGTTGTATGAGTTTTACAGTGTATGTCCTTGTCGAATGGAAGTAATAAATTATTTCTCGAAAGAACTAGTTTGATTAATTAATATATTAAACGGACTGGCTTTTTGCCAGCTAAGCTAACAATTTTGACCGACCGATCCGGTCGGGTGAGAAAAAGATTTACCGATTCCAAGTGTGATATATATATCAGCAGCAACCATAGAAAATGTTTGACTTATGATCTTACTATAATAATTACTGCATTGGTCGTAATAGTACAAATACTATCTAATTTTGTAAATTGCTTCCTGTATAGATCATTCTAATCTATACCGTAAATTTACTTGTACAAATGTAACCAATAAGTCTATAACTCTCAAATCTATTATCATTAATCACTTGTATCCAACTATGATAAACACTAATATATAGTCAGATATCCCACTACCAGAAACATGACAAAAAAGCTAAAATGAGGCTGATGATTCAATCGCTACCCAGGCGGACAAACTTTTGAGAAAACACGTTTAAACGCACAAAAAGGACAAAAAAGTGGACGTGTTTGGTTCACAGTCGGGAATCTCAAGTGTGAGCCAAAAACGTCCACTTTTTGCTGATTTTAGGCCAATTTTTGTGCGTTTAAACGCATTTTATCAAAAGTTTGTCTGCTTGGGTATTCTCGTATACTCATCATAAATATATATCGAATAGTTGGATTTTGAGAGTGAAGGAAAATGTGTGTGGACGAGTGGTGTTAAATTATTAGTCTCACTCCACTCTTATATCCTGACCCATAGACTGATACAATAGCTGATTTATACTAACTAATCTGGTATGGTTTGAAATAGGAACGTGTAAAAATGACTATTATAAGAGACACAGACTCTGATGTTAAAAAAAAAGCATCTCATCGGATTCGCCTGTTGTTATATGAATGATAAAATCAAATGTTCCACAGCGCGAACACATCAGAATTGAACGTGTATGGCAGATGATCTAGTTTATATTCTTGTTGAAATAACAAGATAAAATGTAAATGAAAGGAAGTTTGTGTGAAATGAAGAACTATTTCATCGTTTGAACAATAACATGCTCGTTTCTTTTGCAATTATTTTTAAAAAGTAAAATAATCTGATATCAGACAAAGTTCATGAATAGAAAAATATATTGTTACAGTTGTTCGTATGAAAAAGTTGACAAGTATTATTACAAATACGACTACGAAATAAGATACCTTTTTTGCAAAGTAAAGTTTTCTATGTCGAAGATACATTTAATGATTTGATTCCTAAAGTTTGATTACAACATATTCTAGTGACTTTTGATCAGTCATTTAACTTTCGAGCATGTGATAGTTCTATAGAATACTTTTCTCAAGATATCATTTTGTATAGAATATGGTAAATTCTATTGCAAGTAAAAATTATAAATCATCCATTGCAAAACTCTCACAGAAACAATTTATATAATACAAAGTTTTAGAAAAAGTCTAATCCGTTATTTCCTTCTTGGTTTATTTTTCAAGCATTTTAAATAATCGATTATTGTCACGTAGTTGTCTATGTAATAAAATTTTCACAAAATACTTATTAATTATTTAAGTAGGAACTGAAGTACTTGAGAGTAAGTCGAGTGATTAAATACAATTCCAATATGACCTACATCAATATACTTGACACTTGAAGGAAGTTCTTCTGCCAGCGCACATTTTTATAAGCCATTAATGCGTTAAATTTGGCATTAACATTGAATAAGTTATCAAGTTTATTTATTTGACGCATCCAATTTACTTCTGTTTGATTTGAAGAAAGTGCAACTGTTATGATTTTTCCAATATGTGGATTTGATTGTGGTGATGATCGAAATTTAAAATTACCATCTCCATCAATATACGAACAATCTTGAGTAAAAGTACTATATAAAGCGAGATTTCCACCGTTTGAATGTGCAACAATATCGACAAGAGGGATAGTATTAGAGCTTGTTGAATTCATTGTAGTTTCTGTGTTTTTATTCTCGTGACGTATTGTTCTTTGTAATTTCATTGTCGAGATTTCGTCGTATGTGGCATCGAATGATTCGTTATCGATTTGAGTAGAGTAAGTTTCATTATCGAATTTCTGATAAGAATCATAATAGAGTTTTCTTATTTCTTAGATTTTCTTGAAGACTTGTTTACGAATCTCTTCTGTGGGTAATTCAAAACCAAGATTTATAATAAATACAGGTATATGAACACTTTCTAGTAGGACTGCTAAATCTCCAAGATAAGACCATGAGCCAACAGCACCATGTAATAGCAATACAGGACGACGACGACGACAATGTGTTTCATTCCATTGATTAAGACCGTATACTTGTGGATCCTTACAATATTTCTTTTATGTATACCAGACAGCTTTGCACAATGTATGCCCTTCCAATATTAACATTCCGAAAAATGCTCCTGCGACAGGTGAAATATGCTGTTGTATGATTTGGACTAGATATTTATTGATAAGAAATCAGATACCATCAAGTTTATATTCTACCGCTAAAATCCAACTTGAATGAAAAGTAGAAGCAAAACCATTCCATATATTGTTAATGTAAGCCTTAATCGGTTTCATTTTGTATTTATCTAAAATATTAAACTCTTAATAAGTCAATCTGAATTAAGACTTAAATGTTCATTATTTTTTTGTGTTCTTTCGATTATCTGTACCTTTTTTGTGTCATCACGAAGGGATGCAGTCATCTCAATTTTTAGTTTTTCTTTTACTGACGAAACATATGAAAACATGTTTCAAGGATTCTCTTTTCATTAAACGTAAGTTCGCACTGAAATGTTTCTGAAAACAAAAGTTTCCACCGCGTTGGAGTTTGCTAATGGATCTTTTGGCGCTGTTGATTACGGATGGTTCTATTTTATATCTATAGATAAATTAATATCAAATGTAACTTTACCAGTTATTACCTAGATAATATGAAATTTTCTACGCTTACTACAAAAGAAAAATAGACTCAACTTATCAGACATCAATCTTGAGGAAATTTATATGCTGAAAACATGACAGCTTCATTGTGTGAAAAACTGACTGAGAATATATACTTACAACCAATTATACTTAAAAAATAACCTTGATTGAATGAATAACTCAAATCTTTAATATATAATTTAGCTACATCTTTTTTTCATTTGTACTGTTATAATGAAAAAGCGGAAAATTCTATTAATCTTATCTGAAATTTAGCAAGCTCTTTGTATATTCATATAGTTAACTGTACTTCCTTTTATCTTTTATTTTCAATATTACTTGGCAAAGCATGAAAAATAAATTCCACTATACAATGTAAAAATGTAGTAAACATTTAAAAAACAAATTCATTCATTGTTTATGCAAGCAAAAACGACACTTATTTCTTATTGATACGACAGTGTTACTCAAAACACGTTGTCGATAAATGTTGACATAGCACTTTTTTTCTTTCTTTAGTTTTTTTTCTATAACTGTTGTGTACGTAGACCACTCTCGGCTTTTTTTATTTTTCATTACTAAACCGTACTATGGACGATTATACTCAAAAAAATAATAAAAGTATATAGAAAAATGGCTCAATGAATTAGGACATGCATATATCTAATTGCTAAACAAAAGCTCAATTTCAATAAATCTTCTTCATATGTCGATATACAAAACTTTATGAGAAAACAATAGTTGAATTTTGACATTAAATATTACTCCAAAATTGTAAGAAGCACAAAAAAAATTCACAATCAGTTTTTTATTTTGGAAGTACCACAGAATGTTTCATGAAAAAAAACAGTGGATTATTATACCGGAAAACTCATGAACTCCGAGAGTTTACTGATGTAACTATTCAAATTACTTAAACAAAAGAAATATCACTATAAATGCTTATATCTCTCTTCACAATCATCTTGACATGTTTACAAAGGTTTCATCCAAATTTGAGTTGTAGAACTCAATGTCGAAATATATTTTTATACCTTTTATCAACAATATTTGCAGTAGACATCAGAATTATGACACAAGATTTATTTTCGATCTTTTTTTCTGTTGTCTTAAGCACTAGAAAGAGCCTAAACAACGAAGAAAGTAAACAAAGTTGTTTCAAACAAGAATGCAAGGAAATAAAAATTATTATCAGATTTGACAAAAGATAAGATTGACAGGGCATCAAAATCTAAGTTTTTCAGTGAATCTACAGATAATTGTTCAGAAATTAATAATAATGGAACAAAAGATTTTTCTAACAAAAGATAGCAACGCACCTGTATAAGCCATAACGATACTGAAAGAAAAGCTGCGTAACGTCTCTTAGTGAGCTGCAATCGTAACAAAGAAGCCTCTGTTTCTGTGAAATATGCAATATATGAACTAAAACTTAGTTTTTAAAGATAGAATTCTTAGATCCATAGATTTTCATGAAATTATATCAAAACCAACTCAGATGGAGAAGTTAAACCAAGAAAAAAGCATGTAATCATGACTTATGTCTCCATTTTATGATAACTCTATTAAAGTCTAACATTCCATGTACAAGAAATTAACCAAAATTCCATTACTAAAAGTGCTAAAGTTTGCTTGAAACACCTGATTAAGTGGTAATAAGTAAACTTTTTGTTACATTATTTATGTAAAGCATTACTTTCTCACTATTACAAAAAAACTGAAATTGACTTCAATAGTAACAAGATATTCAGTAGTACTAGAAACTCAAGTCTTCTTTTTCGAAATACAAGAAGAACAGAAGAAATAATATTAATTTTGTTTTTTCTTGTTACTTATAAATAATAACTGTCTTGTGAAGTAGTAGAAATTCACTGATGTCTTACATGATGATGCAAGCAAAAATATGAGAACTACTCATAATTTCTAAGCTGATATTCTTTTTTGATAATTTATATTCATTTGAAGGCTTTGTTTAAAAGACTTTTGTTCTATTATTATTAACTTCTCAATTATTATTCATCTCGACAAGGTTTTGCGTTCCCAAAAAACGACTTAATATGCTTTCATAATGTCAGTGTATCTCAGCTAAAAAATGTCGCAAAAAAACTCGGAGATATCTTATTTTGTAGAAAATTGTTGGCTCTATCATTCTATGTGGTTTAAACAAAATCATATTTGCGTGTTCTAGATACTGAATAACTAGGGTTTGGATTTTCTCGAAATCCTCATTTTGGAACGTGATAATAACTTTTATTTCCTTATGTTGTCATTGAGAATAATTTTCTTTACTGTACTTAGCGTTTCTAGTTTTCAAATACGGTACAATCGATGAAGCGGAAATTTTTACCGCAGATATAGAGTACCAAGAATAGGGAGATACATATTCCAGTAAAAAATTTTGAAGTAGATTTTTATAGTTGTCTCTGACTCATTCGGGATTTGATAGGAGGGCATCCTGATTGCTTACGATCTTCATCTAATGTTGTTCAATGGTGCTGACATTCTTGCCACTGATACTTGGAAGCATTGTCCAGAGATAAAATTAACTGTTTTCGTTTTTCGACTGTCTTACTTGGGTTTATGGAATCGTGAAATTCAAGACCTCGATTTTGGCATCGAACTGTTATGTATTTCAAAAATTCTTCAGTTCAATCGGATAAAGCTTGATTAGGACCATATGCAACCAGCATATGACCCCACGAAAACCAGGCTTTCTCAAAAACCCCACAAAAATCCATTTCAAAATTGCCTTTTATTCAAACATGTTTTCCCTTATTTTCGGTGCTTTATCTGTGCTAAAAAATCTCAGCTTGATCGGTTACACCGTCTTCAAGAATCGAGAAACGCTAAAAAAAAAAGATGGGAATACTCTTAAGACAGCAGAAAGAAAACTTGATACCTACTGTTCATATAAAAAGAAAAAAAAATAGACAATTCTGTCACCTCCTTGTTGACGTACGACATCTGTAAACATATTTCAATTGATTCATAAAATTTAACCAATCATCTTCGAGTTCGTTGTGTAATGAAAGGAAATAACGCACAACTCTCTTTCTTCCTTCTTCTAATTTTTTTCCAACATATCATTCCACCCGAGATTTTTATTTTTATCTAGATAATCATGTCATCGGCATATTCATTTGCTGGAGGTAGTCTTCGTTTAAAAGGTGATTCATCAAGTGCAATTCAAGATGGAAAAGTTTCAAAAAAAAATAAACATAAAAATAAATCAAAATCAAAATCATCAAAAGCTGTTGAAGCACCTTCATCAAAAATGGAACATGTTGCATCAACAATAAATACTAATTCAACTGATCAACATGGTCCATCGGGCAGTGGTTTAACACGTCGTGATTTACGTACACCAGCTGAAATAGCTTATGCGCAAGCAATGGCTAAACGTGCTGAAGAAAAAATTTTACAAAAGGCAGCGAAATCTCATAAAGAACAAGTTGAACAACTTAATTCTTATTTAGATAAACTAACCGAATATAATGATATTCCTAAAGTCAGCTGGACTAAATAAAATTTGTATAATGTATTATTTCAATAAAAGAAAACAAAAAAAACAACATTATTCTTTTCAATTTCGAATAAAAATTTTTTCCTTCAGATTGTCAAAAGAAAAAAAAATGTCTCGATCAATGGATGAGGATTTTACATATTTTGTAAAAATTGTTGATGATAATGGTGATCGATATTATCTTAAAAGTTCAATTGATGAAAGAACAAATACTATTTCAATGCAATTAACTAATTTAAAAGTTGGATGGCTGGGAACATGTAAGTTTATTGTTAGTTTTCTTTTTCAATTAAATTATTTATTTTAAAAATGTTTAGTAAATCAACAGCAAGTTCGAACATTAGCAAAAAAATTTCCATCTGAAGCACATGATACATTTTATTCACATACACAACGTGCTTTTTCCAAAGGAAATCATTCTGAAGTTGATGGAAAAACTTATGTTTTTAATTGTAAAAAAATTGAAAAAAATCGACTTGAAGTATGAAAAATCTTTGTTTTTCTTTTTGTGAAACACGATCTGAAAGGAGTGTTTAGGGGTAGAAATTTGCACCCACTCCCGCCCCCTCTTCCCACAGATCGCGAAAGAGAAGCTGTAGTTCTAAAGCATCAGATAAACGGTTAGTTACAAATGTATCACAAAGAAATGGAACAAAACGATTTTCATTTAATTAGTAACAATAGATCGATCGTATTTCACATTTTTAATCTCGCAAGGGATTGCCCTCTTTTATTTAATTACATTTTATTTCAGTTAATAGCTTAAATGAAAACATGTAAAAACTTTTTAACTTATCTACACAGAAGTTTACTTTGTTTTTAATCAGAGTTATTAGTAATATATTCTTTTGTTGTTGAGTAATTTCATGATAATCTAAAGTCATATTTTGGTTCGAACTGTCTTGTATAGGTAGGGATACACCAATTCCTGAGCCGTAGTTTTCATCTGTTGAGAACCTATTGTTATATAAATTTTTTATAAGATTAGATTCTCAGTATTACAGGTGGATTATTTTTCTGTCATGAGTTTACCCATACTTAAAGATAATCTATTTCCAATAATTAGACCTACAGGTTTTTACCAGTGATTCATGTCAGCAGTACTTAACTTCAAATACTCTATCCGATGCTATTCGTTCATTTTTTTTTTGAATAATGAAAAAAATTACACAATTGATCGAATTGTGTCTTCAATCTGATAAATTTTGACTCTTGATGAAAAATCATTAGATTCAATAGAATCTAATAATAACTTCGACAACTCTTATAAGCAATTGATAAGACAATAAGTTTTTTAACACTCGAAAAAGACAATCTAGGAATAATTGATGCATTCCTATGTACATTGTTTTATTGTCTTTTCGACTTACTAGTTTTTTCAACTAAATTATTTTGAAATTACAAGAAAATTTATCATGAACTAAACGAGAAATTGATTAGTTAAGATAGACTTATCTAATGAGCGTTCTTTCTTCTAGAGTAAAATATCAAACAATCTCTTTAGTTATTCGAAAAATAACGATGAAGAATCTACATATGAAAAAAGAATATTCTATAATATTTATTATGAAAAACAATTTTACATAAAAAAAAAAAAATATAAAAATTTTCGATCATATAAATAGAATAATTGTATTTCTTCACATTAAATTTGTTTTAATAATTTAAAAGCGAAATATTTGAATAATTATTTGAATTGATTTGTTTTAGTTCGTATGGAAACAAATGGTCGATGATCTTAATTCATTGAAAATCATTGGTAGTGCTGAACTTCAAGAACGACCCATAGAAGAAGTCATTGATTCATTTGAAAAAAAAATTTATCTATATAATATTATTTTAGGTATTAGCTAAAATGATGGATCATGCTATTGATGAAATGGAAACATTACGATCAGTAAATGAACAAAAAATTTTTGAAATTCAACGTATTAATGGTCAATTAAATAAAGCTCTTGAAGTAAATTACAAGAAAATAATGTGTTTTTTTTTAATAATTCATATTCTTTTCCTTCAGACGGTTAAACAAACAGTTGATATGAAAGAAAAACTTGAAGCTGATCTTTATCGAAAGGTAAATAGATAAATGATCTATATTTATAGTAATAATAGTATAATAAAACATTGATCATAGTAGAAAAAAATTTTCATAGATTAAGAAACATTAGTCCTTCGATTGTTTTTTTGATTATTGATATTTAGCAAACGTTGTTCCACATTATAAAGCATTTGTAAAAGAGTTTTTTCTAATTGTGGTATTGTTGTTATAAAATCATTGGATATTTTTTCTATTAGTGGTGGATAATCCTCTTTGATAATTTGTGTCCAACCATCAATTATTGAATCTAAATAATTTGGATTAGGCTCTTTCCATGTAGCAAAACGAGACTCATATACGTTAATACATTCGTTAATTAATGAAAGTGTATCAGCATATGATGATAGTAATGATTCAAGTTGTCGTTTTAATGTACGTATTGCTCCTTGTTCTTCATGATCAAATAGTTGACTTACGGTTATTAGAGACTGTTGATTAGTAACAATGATTAATGTTGTCGATAGATGTTCAAGTGCTTCTTTAATTTCATGATTTTTTTCAACATATAAATCGATTTGTTTTCGAGAATCTAAACTCGAACAACAACTTTTTAATAAATAATCAAATAATAATAGTCGATTAGTTTTTGAGTTGAATCGGTCTAATAATGTTTGTTTTAAATGAATCCAATATTGTGATATTTGGTAAATACTTTCATTTGTTTTTGTTGTTAATACTTCAATAAGTTTTTCAACAGTTCGATGTAATTCTGTTTGTCTTTGTTTACATTGTTTGATATGTTGAACAGTATATGTATATTGATCAGTAAGATTTAAAAATCGACGAACAGGTGTAATGGGTATTGTTGTTTGTATAGATTCAGTTGTTGATGTTTCTTCCATATTTGTATTGATACGTAATTTTTTTTGAGGAAAAAATTTCTTTGAAAATGATTGTTTCGTAATAGATGATGAAGAAGTTTTTGTTATAAAATCTTTATTAGATACATTAGTTGATCGACGACGTCGAGAAGGACTCATCATCATACTAATAATCTTCGATTTTTTCTTTGTATTATTTGTTTCTGATGAATCGGTATTTTCATCTTCATTATTTTCTTTGACTACAATTGGTTTCGTTAATTCAGTTGCTAACTGAAAAGAAAAGAAAAAGACAACATAAATAAACACTTAAAAAATAAATATTTATAATTATCTTTTTGTTTTTTTTTTACAAACCTTTTTTTCATTATTAAATGATCGTGGTTTAAATATTTGACTGTTTGAAGATTGATCATTTGAATTTGAATTTAATGCTATACTTATATTGACTGTTTCATCCGTAGATTCAATTCGATAAAGATTTTTATTTGTTATTGAATCATGTCCATGACTTTGAACATGTTCTTGATAACAATTTATACAAAATACACGATAACAAGTAGAACATGTATCAAGTTGTTTTGATAAATCTAATTGATGACATTGATCACATAAAAGTGTATTTATTAATAATTGTAGTGAATGATTTTCTTCTAAATCTGATATAGATTTTAAAAGATGTGTACGTGAACATTTTTGACATATTATTACTGCTTTTTTATCTGTATTTGATAATAAACAATTATTGGAATGCATTGGTAATGAATTTGAACGAGCTTCTTGATTATTTTTTATACATTGAAAACAAAATGTATGTTGACATGGTAATACAGTTGGATTTATCATTGGTAATGAGCATATAGGACATGTTAATTGTGATAATACTGAATCAGAATTTGTTGGAACAATTAAATTAAAAACATCGACAGAATTAGCTGAATTATTACGACGATGACTTGGACTATGAAGAATATCTTCATGACTATACCGACGAAGCTAAAGATAAAAAAGAAATTATTATTAAAAATCAATTAGAATTTCTAAATATGCTTCTAGATTATTTCGTTTTTAATTCTTTTTTACTTATATTCACCTGCATATGTTGTTTCTTCTCTGCCGTTATATGTGAAAGTCTTCTTGTGAAAGAATACATGAGGAAATATCTCTGATGGAATGTATCTAAGATTAACTTGAAAAAAAAATTGGAAAAAAACGAAAGAGGTAATATAATGTTGTTGAAGAGTGAAATATGGCTTTGTGATTAATAGGTTGTCATAGTTCGTTAATTCTCTATCTTAATTGGTTTTAACAGGTATTTGGCCGATCAAGGAAAATTAAATATGACATATCATAGCATAAAGTGCGCATTTTCCTCCAACCTATTTATGCGTCGTTCTATATAGGTAATCATAGGAGAACAAGAACAAATAAGCCTTTTTTTTTTGAATAAATCGAAGAATAATTTTTAAAGAAATCATAGGTTTTTCGTTTTACTTGAATGATAAAAGTATTTAAAAAAACCGCGACAAATATTTTCAATTAATCTAGAATAATAAGGATTTGTTCTTTTAATCTTACCGATTCGGACTTCTTTAATTTAAATGACTTTTTTTTACTATGGCTGTATTGAGTAGATAAACAAAGCAGCATCATTGTGACGAAGTTTCTGATAATGTTTTTTATGTTACGAATACGTATACGAAATTTGTTTTTGTTCTTTTCCTTCTTATGTGCATATTGATTTTATTACGTTCGAGTGTTTTTTATATACTTAATGTGGCATATATTAGACTGTCTCGTTTCAATTTCCTTTCTATTCTCATTGAAAAAGAAATGATGTCATTCCAATAGCATGACATTGGCAAAACTCGTATTCGAATGGCGAGTTAATATGTATATTTAGTAACAGATGCTGTCTTACCCTTGTAGTTTCAGTTAATAGATCATTCATGGTAAGATGTCCAATCTAACGAAATGTTGATAAAATGAATGAAGAGTAGGTTGTTTTCGTTGTGCAATAACTTTTATTAGTCATATAAATAGAAATTGTTTTGTGTAGGTGGTTAAATGTTTTTTTTTTTCGTTCTTTTACTTACCAACAGTAAGGAATTCTTGATAATTGTGTCAAACGTTAGTAGACAAAACAAAAACGAAACCATGTTGCACTGTCCGCGTACATAACAACTGTTTTACTTTCAATTATTTTTCTATAAAGTAAAACGGATAATAAAGAAAACGAAAAAATTCTACGTTGCTTTTATTTGAATATGTCATGATTGATAAAATAATAATTATTAAAAACAAAAAAGAAATGCAAGAATAAATATCAAAATAAGATAATAAGAGAAGGCGTTTTTTGTCAGTTTTATGATCATCATTAAATTGATTTAAATTCTTTTTCTATTCTTTGGAATGACAAAAATGTTTCTGATTTTATTTTCTTCTTTTAGTTTGTTCTTGTGTTAAATACTAAAAAAGGAGAATTAGCTAAACTTAAACGTCAGGTTGAATCATACGAAAATGAACATACTAATGGAATTAGTGGTAATTTATTTAATTAAAAACGAAAAAAAAAATTTCTTTGAAAAATAAAAACAAAAAAAATTTCTTTCAAGGTAATGAACATTCTGATGATGAAGGTAATCCTGTTGGATATAATAGTGGTACTGATGATGAACGTTCAAATGAAGCATTTGCTAATTTACGTGCTCGAAGTCGATCACCTATACATACAACAGCAACATTAAATGATGATGAACATATGAATACAGGTGAAAATAAACGAGCAAGAAGTACAATGAGTGATACAGATACAAGTGGAGATGAAGATCAATTTATGGAAGATGAAGTACATGAGGTTAATGAAAAAAAACTTTTGTCCTATGAAATTGAAATCAACTTTGTTTCATTTTCTTTTGAATTAGATACAAATTCCAATTCGTCAAGCAAGTCAATCGGAAATAAATATTGGTCCTAGCCAAGATAGTCTACTTGATTTAGGTGATGATCGACTAGATTATAAACTATCGACTATTAGTAAACATCATCAACGGTATAAATTATTGAAGAATATAGTTTTTGTTTGTTTTAAATACATTTTATTTTTTTTTGTATTATAGACGAAAATATGTTACTGGTGCTAATTCGATTTCAACTCGTCCATATCTTAGGTAAAAATAAATATATCAACGATATTTTATTAAATTCAATTAAATTCTAAATTATTTTTAGCCATGCTGGTGCTGGTATTCCGCCAACATTGACAACACCTTCATTACCTGAAGAATCGCAAACAACCGATGATTTATTAGAGAAAATCTAATTAAAATGTCTTTTTCTGTAATTGTTTGTTTTTGTTGTTTAATATTTGTAAAAATTTTTCGATATTTGTTATCGTCCGTTAAATACGACTGGACATTAATATAGAATAATACATAATGTAGGTCTTATTGTTGTAGATAAATATGAGTACAACACTCGACACATACGCGTGCGGTGCATGTACATATATTCAATCCATAAAACGACCAACATGTGAAATGGTATATGTATATTTTGTTTTTTGGATAACATTTGTTTGTATTTATTAATCTATTGAATGTAGTGTGATACGCCTAATCCAAATTTTGTTGATACGGCCTATGGATCAGATGCAGGAGCAACCGCAGGAGCAGCTTTGTTTGATTTTTCAAAAGAGAATCAAGTAATTGAATGTGTCCAATGTGGTTATATTAATATTGGTAGTCATATTCCAAGTGTGTCTTGCTAGCAATAAAAGCAAAGTTTTCTAAAAAAACAACAAATGGTTTAATATTTTTCTAGCTTGTCAAGGCTGTGGACAGAACCTTTATGATTTACGTCGTCTGTTTAAACATTTTGGTATGGATTTAGACAAAAAATCTCCTAGTGATGAATATGATGATAATAAATTTAATCGCGATGATGATGATGATATGGACGTTGTAATGGTAGAAAATACTGATGAATCACAAAAAAAAGGCCCATCAGGAAAAGCAGCTGCTGCTGTAGAAAAAGGAATGGATGATAATCAATTAGTACCTTATTTTAACCGATATTTATTAATATTGAGAGAACAACAACAACAAAGTCATTTACTTACATTAGAGTATTTAAATGATTGTATGACTGAACTTTTTACTACCCTTGAATATAAAAATGATGAATCCGATGGTAACCAAAATAAAGATTTTATTGCTTTATATTATTCTCTTGGATCTATTTATTTAAGGTCAATTAACTTTTCCTACTTGCCAAATTTGTTGCGACGAAAATATGCCGATGATAACTATGAAAGTAAATCGTAGATATTTATATATGTATTCAATAGCAGTATTTTATCTAGATTTTCGCTTCTGGAAGGATGAAAATCTATTTTTGAGAGTCCAGACACAGAGTACATAATGCAATAATCACAAATTGTGGAAAATCCAATTGTAATGCCCATTTCAAAAAAGAAGAGCCCTGGCCATTTTTTGAATAATTTTCGATAGGAACAAAATAGCGATGTGCGATTTTCACCATTAGAACGTGAAGACTCAGCTGCATCAACACATAGTAAAAACTGATTGGCCAGCAAAGGATCAATCAGGTGCATTCTCAAGTGACATGTTGAGCACAATATTCTGGAGCTATTTTTCAGTTTCGCTCAATTGTTAATTTAGGTTTTTGGTAGAAAAAATGATTTTCTTTCGATCTATGCAAGGCGCACCTTTCTAGCTTGTTCAGTTCAAGAGATACAACGGTTTTCGTGAGACCCCTGATTTCAGCCAATTGACTTTGGGCTACCCAGAAAACACTCTGAGATGGGGTAATTCATCATGCTGAGTCGAATGGTGATGTTTATTTTTGGATTCGAAATAATCTTACACTACCTTTTTGCAAATTTTCTAAATTTCATAATATCTACCACTATGTTTCACATAAGTTCACATTTCGGAAATATTCAGATAGCACCCTAATATGATTTCGGATCCAAAAACAAACACCACCATTCGACTCAGCATGATGAATTACCCCATCTCAGAGTGTTTTCTGGGTGGTGCAAGGTCAATTGGCTGAAATCAGAAGTCTCACGAAAAACGTTGTATCTCTTGAACTGAACAAGCTAGAAAGGTGAACCTTGCATAGATCGAAAGAAAATCATTGTTCCTATCAAAAACCTAAATTAACAATTGAGCGAAACTGAAAAATAGCTCCAGAATATCGTGCTCCACATGTCATTTGAGAATGCATCTGATTGGTCCTTTGCTGGCCAATCAGTTTTTACCATGCGTTGATGCAGCTGAGTCTTCGCGTTCTAATGGTGAAAACCGCACATCGCTATCTTGTTCCTATCGAAAATTATTCAAAAAATGGCCAGGGCTCTTCTTTTTTGCAATGAACATTAGTTTATGAGAGGTATCCCTTGTCTCAATTCTCATACTGGATAAAATGACCTCATGGAGTATTTGAATTTGCGGCAAATTCAAATTCACAAAAAAATAATATCTCTTTCCCAAACGATCTTCTAGCGAGGTATAAGCGGTATAGTGGTATAAGAGATATAGTGGTATAAGCGGTAGAGCGGTGTAAGCGGTATAGTAGTATAGGCGGCTGTGGGTGTTGGTGTGGAGCTTCTCTTCATCCTCCACACCCACACCCGCTTATACCACTATACTGCTGTAGCTGCATTTTATTGGAAATTGTTTGTTTTTTTGTTAATTTGAATTTGCCACAAATTCAAATCCCCCAGCATATGGATAAAATACTCTTGAGAAGATTAAAGATTTTGTAAAATTCCAGGTCGTTCAATGGATATAAATATTTTCTACTTCATAATGTAGAATTCTTCGATTTCATTCGAAATCGATTGAGTATCAGTCAAATAATTTAATAGATTGTTGAAAAAAAGCATATGTTATATAGCAGAGATTCACGAGATAGCAAAAACTGAGTCATCTTTTTCAGAAAAACTTCAATATCTAATACAACCAAAATTCATAATAATAATAATCAAAGCTAGACAAATACAAGTACTTACTCGTGCTGGTACTCGCAGAATCGGTACTAGGGATGCGCCATTCCAACTCTTAAAATTAGTCTTGCAAAAATTGGAATCAAATTATTGATTTATGCGAATATGTGCAAACTTAGTAATTCTACAACAACCAATCCCAAGTCAAAACTTGTAATTGGTACATGTCTAATCAATACTTGTCTGAGAAAACCTGTATTTGTTCAGCTACGATAATCATTCATTCCAAAGATTGGAATATTTTCTTAAACAAATAAAAACAAAAAAACAAATATCGTATTTGGCTGAAGGAAACCTTCCAACCTCATAAGTGACTCTGTGGGTTTCTATTACGTATCACGGTATAAATAATGTAGAACATTTATTTTTTGTGAGAAATATTTTGATGTAGAAAATGTCAGTATCAAATAAATTCACTGTTTATATAAATAGCCACTTTTTCTTTCATTCATATAATAATGAATATCATAGTTTTAAAGCTTATATTCAATGGATACTTCGTTATTTTGATCTACTAAATATATTAATTGTAATCTCCAATGTATTCATTCCATGCCTTCATGGTAAGTCAATTCCAACGTGTTGCGTTATAATGAATAGACCAATGTTTTTTTAGTTGTACAGTTTTTGAAAATTGTATTAAAAATATATGATATTCTAAAAAAACAAAATTATTTTCTCTAAATTTGTAGGCTTGTGGTCATCGTGTAGTTTGTGTTGATGATTTTAATCGATATTTATCCGTACGTATTCATGATGGAGATATTCTTCCATGGATTCCATGTCCAGCTGAAACATGTTTCGTTCCATGTCATGTAGACAATATAATTCAAGATGGCAATTTAACATATTCAGACCTATTATCATTTCTCACAACATTTATGTTAAAAAAATTATCTCGTAATGAAAATTTTATTGTATGTGTTAAATGTGAAAAAGGTGGTTTTCTTCAAATGGGTCCACCAACAAAACAACAAGTTACATGTCCTATATGTAATGAAAGACAAACGATCGAAAAAGGTGTTGATGGTGATCTTGATCTTGGTATGTATTCCTTTTGTTTTTATATTTATTTTTGTATTATGAAATAATACAATGTTTATATTAAATAGCTTTTAAAAAAATGATTAAATCAGGAGAATTACGTGAATGTCCAACATGTCGTCATTTAACTTTAAAAGAAAAAGGTGTATGTAATGTAATTGAATGTGCTAAATGTGGAATTTGGTGGAACTGGAGAACTAAAGAACAAGGACATAATGGTAGAGATTTAAAACAACGTGCTCGAATGAATGGAACACTTTGGGAACCTGGTGAAAAAAGAGATCATTCATTTAATTTTTTTTTTATTAATTCTTATTTTAATTTTTATAGGTGAACTTCGATATCAACAAGAATTAGAAGCACGTAATCCAAAAGAATTCAAAGCTTTATTAGAACGAAATGGAATTAAATATGATCCGAATTATATACGGGGTGGTTGGATGAATCAATGAATTTATTAATATACATACAGATATACTAACGTTTTTATTGACTTTTTTCTGTTGCACAAAACAAAAGTTTTGAGAACAATGTTTGTGACATATATATATATATATATATTTTTCCGAAACAAAATTTTAGTTTGTTTAACTTATTTTTCTAGTTATACACTTTTTTTAAAAACTTTCTTTTCCTTTAAAATTTCCAACACTTCATCATATATAACTGAAAGACGTTTATATTTATTAATCTTGATAAAAAGTGAAATTTTTTCATCCATTTTAGATAAGATGTATTCAATAGCAAATAAACCGGAACAATGTATTGAATGTGAAAAAAATAATAACAATGATGGTTGGTTTATTTGTCAAGGTTTAAATTTGAATTTCTTATTGAATATAAGATCAATGATCATATATATATATATATATATTTATAGAATGCCATCGAATATTTTGTAGTCGACACAGTATTATTCATCGTCATCAATCAAAACAAGAACAGCCATCAACTGAAAGATATAATCGTCATGTTCATTTAGATCAAATAGCTGAATGGGAACGAAAGGCTATTGATAGAATTCGAAAACAAGCAGATGAAGCTCGTCGTCCTTTAATTGCACCACCAACACCAATAACTCAAACATCACCATCAACAATACTCATCAATGAACTACGCAATGCATCACTTACACAATTATCAACTACATCATCTAATATTGAAAAACAAGTATTAATTTAATTAATCATTCTTATTTATTGTTTCAATAAAAATTTTTCTTTTTTAGTCACCTATTATTGATCAATATGAATTATTATCAGATGAAACATTAGATGAAATAATTGGTGATGGTCCTCTAACATCACCTCCTGATGAAATAAATGCCATGGGACGTGTTTCATTTGCCAGTCAATATCCATATATGACTGGTGTACATCGTCTTCGACTTTCAATTGATACATTTGATTATTCATCATCATGGGCATTTGTTGGTATTATTTCTGAAGGAGTTAGATTAGAAAATACAGAATATCAAAATTATTTAAATCGATCATCATTTGGTTGGCATATTGGTCGTCAATCTATTATATATGATAGACAAACTTCGACGACACATAACTATGATGGTCGAGATATTCGACAAGGTGATATTTTAAAAATTATTATCGATTGTAATCAAAAAACAATTGAAATAAAAAATGAAAGAACATTAAATACACATCTGATTTATATTAATAGCAATCATTGTCCATTACCTTGGTTATTTGCAGTTAATTTTAACTATAAAAATAAGGATTCGATGCATTTGTTACAGTGATTTTATTTTATTGTTTTTCTAGTCATTCAACGATCAGATAAACAAATTATTTCTATTTTTAGATCAATATCACAAAAAAAAAAAGTTTTCTTTGTTTTTTTTTTTTACTTTATATGACATTTATATATCTAACATGAATATGAGAAAACTAAATAAAAATTGATAAAAGTAAGTCTCATTGTTCGATTTTTCGAAAATAAAAATCGAATGATGTCTAAGATCATAATATGAAATAGTGTAACCATTTAAGTTTTGATATTTATTAAAAATACAAAGCAAATCATTTTCTATGGAAAATTTTCATTAACATTATTGATTATTGTCATACATTGCTTTAGAAAATGTTGTCAACTTCACAGATGCTATTGTTTTTATTCTTTCATTTTCGATGTGTTAATTTATTTAATGATTGCAAGACATCACATTGAGTCAAGTACATGAATCACATAGGTTTTTTTTTCTATACGTATAATAAATGCCATGCTATAATCAAATAATCTGTCATGAATGCCTTCGAAATAAATCATACAACAAATGAATAACGGCAAAGTCGACGAGTAAATGATTCTATATTGTCATGATTGGTTAATTATAACACATTATCAATCGAAATGACGACATTTTAATCTAATAATTAAAATTAATTATTTAGAAATTAAATATAAAGATTAATAGAATTTAATCGTAAAAATAAAATTTCTAACTATTTAATTGGATAAAGCTCAAAGTTTCATTTAAAAAACCACAAAAAACACAAGATTGAAATTGATTTTAATCATATCTTTTATTTCTAGATGAGCTATGGTTTGGAATATAATACTTCCGATTGTGGGTCGATATGCAACTATCATTACTTTGCCTGTTGCCATAGGTATATTGTTGACTTTTATTTTGTATTTTATTATTATTTTCTTATAGTTTTGGGCAGTCTTGGATATTTAATTGAACGACATTGTCGTGGTATACCATATACACCAGTTGCTCATGAAAAAACTATTATAGATGAACGAGTAGAACGACAAAATCAACAGCAAGTGACAGCTTCTCCTTATAGAATGGATACTGTTCTACCAAAAACTATTTTCGAAAGAAACAATCCTGATGATTTGAAAAAAATTAGTTAGATATTATTGATATTTAGTAATTTTATATATTAATATAAAAATCTAACGCAAAACAAAAAAGAATAGCATATAATTTATTTCTCTTCTTTTATTTAATATTGTTCCGATTGAATTGATTGACGATTCAATTCTCTCATTGTTCTTCTTGCTCTGCTATCATTCATAATACCATCCAACATATAAATACTTAATATTAATCCAAAAGAATTTTGTATTAATGCAAAAATTAAATCAATAATTTCTTCTGCCATTGATTTTTTATCAAAAGAATCAAAAGGATAATATAATGATTGTTTAATATAACCTGAAAAATAACCATAAAAATCGAATATTATTCGAAGACATGTAAGAGCTGTCAAAAAAATAATTGAAATTAAAAGTAGATCAGCCATTTTACGCCATATTGCATAGAGAAGAAGACAACGATAGACTAATGAAACACAACCACCGATGATAGCTCGAATATGAATATATGTATACGGATGTGTAAAAGGTGATGATAACAATGAGTTATGAAAAATAACTAGTTTAACATGTAGAATAGTTTGACAATTAAGATAGATGTAAAAACAAGTTAAAAGAAGACGTAGTTCAATATAATGAGATCGATGCATTTTGAAATATGTTTGTCCTGACAGATAATGATTTAACACATTTTTATGATTTTTATTTCTCTACAATTTCATAAAAATCGAGGACAGAATAATATAATAATAGAACTCTTGAGATTAATTTTATTGCTTTACATTTATATAATATATTTTATTGGAAATACTTGTAAAAGAAAAATCAAATGATTACATAATATTAATGATATCTCATATAATTCATTTGTCTAAACTTTTGTGGAACTCACATATATTTTCGAAGAAAATAGTGAGTGTAAGTTTTAAGTTCGAGTTTTTGCGGCTCCCACCCTATTACAGACACATAGCAACGGGAAAGAGAACATTACAGACACCCTCCCCCTCCCCCCATTACACGCCATAGCAACTCCAGAAAAAAAGGGAAAAAGTTTTTTTAATGCAATAGTAGAAAAAAATCAGTGTAAAAAATGAGAAGAAATTTTGACTACTTTGCCATAAGCCAGAGTATTGTGGAAAAGTTGAGATTAATAACATTCGTATACTAGTATTCCTGTAAGTTCAGTTTTAGATTTTTGTCCACATAAAAATGTATTTAAGACGTCAACAATCATAAGAAATCACCGATTGATCAAGTTATTAATTTGAAAAAACTCGCTCAGTGCTAGTGTTGTGACTTGATCGAGATTTATAATAGTTCATTGACACTTACTGTGGGTTAAATGTATATGTGTAATAGGCATATTTACCGGTTGAATAAATGATTACAATGATAATAGAATTAAATTTAAAAAAATAATGCAAAAAAAAATAATGAGTGAATAGTAACAATGAAAACGAAAAATAGAGCGTCCGTCAGAAAATGAAAAATAAAAAATTCTTAATTTTACACCTTCTGTATTTCGTATTAATATAACGAAGCTGAAGAACATATGTGAGTTCCACATTTTAGTCCTAAAGGGGCTGCGCTAACAAGCTTTTCTTTATATAATAAGTAAAGATCAAACTACATCTATTTTGTTCGTTGTAGTATAATTGAATGTCTTCTTCGCAAACTGCTCTTGTTGTTGGTCTTGGTGGTGTCACTAGTGGTGGTAAGACAACAATGTGTCAGTTTCTTGAAGATCTATTTTCTTCAAATAAATACAATCTTAATATAAAATCATTACATATCGATGATTATTTTCGTTCAAATGATGATCCACATCATATACATCTGGACAAATTTAATCATCATGATTGGGATTGTTTAAATGCACTTGATATAGATCGATTTATTCAAGATTTTCAATCTACTCGTTTGATATGTGATATTTTATTAATTGAAGGTTTTCTTATATTTAACATAGTATCTTCATCAAAAGATGATTATAGATATGATTTAGCTTATTATTTTGATTTACCATATGAAGAATGTCGCAAACGACGATACGAACGAAATTATGATCCACCAGATCCAGAAGGTTACTTTGAAGAACATGTTTGGGATGCTTATATTAAAGCAAAGAAAGAAGCATTCGAACAAAATAAAGATGTAAGATTGGAAATTGTCGATACAACTAAAACATCATTTGAAAAAATTCAAGAAAAAATTATTAAAGATATTGAAATAGCTTTAAAACGGTGTTCAAAGACATGACATAAAATAAAATGTTTTTATTTTTTTATTCAGGAATAATGAAATGCAGTTTAATTTAATCAAATATGACTCTTTTTTTTTTAAAGAACGATATTATTAAAGAAAACAAAAATTATTATCAATAAAACAGTTATATAGTTTATTTCAATTGTAGATTATTGAAGAAAGCGAATTGATAAGAACATTAATTAAGAGTTATAGTCAATTCACTTGTTCCATATCCCTCACCAAATAAAGGATAATAGTACCACCAGAAACTAATAAGAATATTTTGTCCTTGAATAATACAAAATGTTTATTTGACATAAGCAGATGTATTCACCGATGCTCCATAAAGATATACAGTACCTGTTACTTGATTTCCTGATAGAGAATCAACTGTTGTTGATGATGTAGCATTAGAATAAACAGTCAATGTCCAATTTGTCAAATTGTATTCAAAATCACCATTTGAAATAAGTTCTCCATTGCCTTGTGTTGCACTTACATCATCTAACGCTCAATATCCATTATCATCTTGAACAGCTATTTCAAATGTATATTGATTCACTGTTGGAGCCACATAGCAACATGAGACAAGTGTTCATACCGGTGGTGGAAGATACAAGAGATTTAAGTTATTATACATAACTGTCGAACATACCGCATGACTATTTGTATTACACACACGAAGTTAAGCCAATTGTTGTTGAAACTTTAATAAAGACGCAATTAAGAATACAAATATTAAAAAAGAAAATTGTATCAGTAGTCGTAATTGTTGTCATTGCTGAATCTAAAAGTATTTTCGTATGCATAAAAATTTGATCAAAATCTTACGAAAAAACTTTCTCCAGGTGTCAAATGACTTTTCGACTGAGATTATGTTCATTTGATGAGTGTTTGTGAATAATAGAAACATCTAGAATGGTTTGGTTGTTCAGGCCTTTATTCTTATGCTGTAGAAATTTTACTGGGTTTTTCAACAAAAAACTACGATCCCTTCTATGAAGTTACGTGGAAAATAGACTTTCGAGTTTCGACTTTTAACTTTGCATGGATAAAATTCTTCAAGAGATTACTTGATTGTGTGACTTTTAATTTTTCTAGTATTTTCTTTCCAAAAATGTTAATAAATAAACAAAATATGCTTCTACACATGAGAGCATTTCGAATATTGAATATCTTCGCATAGGAGATACTAACAAAATTACAACTTGCTTAATGAACTAATCTGATTGAGAATTTTTTTCGTGCAAAGCTTAAAGATCGAAACTCAAACGTCAATTAACCACGTGACTTGAGGGGGACCACAGTTTTTTGTTGAAAAATCCAGTAACATTTCGATATCTGAGGTATGAAGGCGCATAAAACCAAACCAATAAAATAATTGTTAGTGTGAGATTAAATGGAGAACAACATCGCTTCTTTTTTCTGTCAACATAAATATATGAAATAGTTTAGAAATTTCTCTAATCTTCATATTTGATAGAAATACTTTTTCGATAATGATTCATTTTGTTGTTCATTATTCAGATGTATAAATGATATTTTCTTGGATCTTACTACGGCCAAAAACACAGTATCAGTCAATGATGGTGACCAATTCATCATCCTACCATGAAATAGATCAACATTCTAAGCAAAATATGAAATTGAGCTGAATGAAAACACATCTAAATGAAAGTGACAAACTTTTCTACTTGATTGATATGATCCCGATGGAATGAGATCAAGCACATGGTTGAATGATAATATATGAGGAGTTGGAAGAACCATCTTATCTCCAGTTGAATTAATCTTGTGAACCGGACGAGAAAATGATTTTAATATATTCAGATACTGATCAGTATAACCCTCGAGTTTTATATCGTTGGTTTGTTTTACAATTCTGAGGACTTGATCATTATGTGTTTGAATTTTTTCTTTGTGTGCGGTTTAATGATTGAATATGGTCATGTTGACTTTCATTTTGATATATTTGTTGTTAATGAGTAATATAAGTCAGAAGAGAATTTTGTCTTGTCTTACTTTTCTTTTTTTTTTTTACAGTTTTCAGTCTTGTTACTGTGAGTTTTGAAATGACAGAACTATGAATGAAACGATAGTTTTGATTTAATGGATTAGTTGTAAATAAGGATAAAGTGATATGCGTCAGCTTATTACTGTTTATTCGATTTTTCACTTTCTTAGATCGTCGTTTCAGAGATTTTCGTAGAAAAAAATCGAACACTAACGTGGTTTTGTCGAGTAGATCGAGTAGTCACCATTGAAATATAAAAGAACAAAAAACAATCTAACTATCGTGAAACCAAATTAAAAATATTTGTGCTGCACATTAAATAGGTTGTTTAATCCATGCATTGTTTACTTGGAACGGAGCCACCCTGTGTTTCATAGTTAATTGAAAAATCTGATTGTGTTGATCAAATCGAATGAAGACTATATTTTACGTTGCCTTGATTCGACCTTCACATCAGAGGATATGAAAATTAACTAAAGTTCATTGTGAAAGTCCAAAGTGTGAATATACAGTGATGAATAAAATTTTTCGTACCATTTTGCTTTTAGTGTAACTCTTCTAAACAGCTGCGTTTTTGACATGAGGATTTTATTAATCGTATTGGCATGGTCTATAATATATCCACAAAAAGTTCAATTCACAAAGTTGAGTCGAAATTGAATTGAATTAGCAACAGTCCAAGGTAATCGTTTTTTCTGGGACGAAGTTTTTCGTACGATTTTCAAACCAAATTATTATTCTCCAAAAAGTTTCAATAGCTAAAATTTAGTTTGTGTTTTCTTCTATTCATTCATATGGCTTGAGTTTTTTCTAAACATTTTTAGAGCAAAATAATTTGATTTGAAAACCGTACGAAAAATGTTGTTCACCTCTGTATGAGAAGACTTTATATTGTCGAATGGAATAGCTGAAAAACAGCAACATTTTTTATAGCATTAGTCAAGAAAAGTTCACTTGGTTTAGAGTTATTTTTACTGGAAAAAAAACCTGTGTACAAAGAAACATATTTTGCTTTCTTCTCAAATTTCCCCATCAACTAAGATACCTTTATCTCTCTGTAAAAATTTTAATCTTTCAAACTTCAATATGCAATAATAAAAAACTATTCTTTCGAATCAACTGATTGTCCATAATTGAATCCATCTGGAGAAAACCATTTTACCAAAATTACTAAAAGTATTTTTTTTCTAACTATTTTCATCAGCTTCCGACTAGTTTTATCATATTTAATAATTCTTATATAATAACTATTTTTAATTATAATATGTGCTCTTCATGGGAACAAGAAAAGAAATGAACAAAAGCAAATCACAGAACAATTTATACAACATGCATGATGATCAAGCGAACGAAATACAGACAAGCCTGTCAACAAAAAAAAGTAATTTCAGGGATTCTGTTGAGTACAATATGATTTAATTAATGATTATTGAAATAATCATTTTGTCATTTCTATTCATTCATCTAGGCTACCAATCATAGACTTTTCATGATTGTTGGATATCAAAATTTTATTAAATTCATTTCAACACTTGAATTGCATTAGATTATTACAGATGAAATAATAATAGAAATTGATCATTAAACGAAAGCATTATACAGAAACTTGTGAATATGTCTTATTCATTGTGAAATAATTTCTTTATAGTTCTATTAATTCAAGTGAAAAAAGATAAAGAATATATTAGATATGATACAACATAAGAAAACCTTATAGAGAAGAAAATCAAAAATTTTCGTCTCTCATTGAATTCAGAGATTTGCTATTAATCATGTATATATAAATAACTATTGAATGTCTTCCATAGCTTAATATTATTATCAAGAGTCGGCAGAAAGGCGCAAACTGAACCATTCTATGCATTTACATATTATGTATTTTTCATTGATATTTTTCTCTCTATCATGTCAGTTAAAATATTTCAGTCATCATTTGATTGAGAAAATTGTATCATACATAGTAACACAGGAATGAAAACACCTAATGAAATTAATAAAAGACAACAGAATTAATTCATTCGATACATTATCGATAGAGGGAATACAGTACCAAGCCATTGATCATTTCTAAACTAATCGAAAATCTTGTCTATTAATTTCATATAATAAATTTCAAACTAGCATTATATGTTTACAATTCTCATAAATACTATTATAGCATGAAAATAGAAAATGTTGAAAGAACAGTACATTGGGAATGTTCAATTACTCATTTTGCTGATGAACATTTGGTTTAGTAGAGTTGTCTTCATATAAAATATGCAAAATTGACAAAATCATTGCATATACTAAAAGAAATATATTTATCAAAGTTTCACGAGACAGTTTCGTGCTCTAGCGAAATGTCCGTACAACATTGTGCGAATCTGCACTGAGCATGCGCTACGCTATTCCATGCTTTGAGGTATTCTGAAAAAATACTGATAAAACGAATAAGCGCGTGCAATGTATTTTTACAAAGAAAAAAAGAGCAAGAGGAGTGCGATACATATAACTGCAAGTGACAGTGTAAAGTGCTTTTGTTATTATTATCTTCATTCTCTAAAATAAAATACTTAGATTTGGTGTATCAAAAGATAAATATGATTCGACTTAACTATCTATAGATTTTATACTTCAGTTTTGTGGTTACTTTCTTGATGGATACTAATATGACTTTTTATTTCTTTCTGAAATCCAAACTGTTCATTAATTTTCAGAGTAAATCTCGAATACTTGAAGATGTCATGTTCATCATACGAACAACATTTCACTTATCATTGGAACATAAGCATTCTGATTTTGTTAGATTTGACAATAGTAAAGTTCCAGCAAAGGTTATTTTACGATTATCTTCTGATCAAGCTGAAAATATTCGTAAAGCTAATCAAGTTAGCTATACAATCCTTTGACAGTGAAGCGCGTAAATTTACGGTTTGAAAATTTGAATAAAGAATGAGAAAAAAATATAGTAAAATCGAGAAGAGAAACAGCAGACTTAAGAAGATTTTAACATATATTAAAAGCTATAACTCATATATTTAATGAGACTTCAGCCGATTAAGTATCAGGCAAACACCGACCGCTTGACGGTATACCGTCGAATTTTTGTCACTGTCGACAAATACCATTGATATAACGCATATAATCCCATATTGCCTATCACCGGTATTTGCCCGATTCGAACCACATGGGTAGTCATGGTGTCGTATCTTTATATCAACTCTAAGTGCAAGAATTATGATTGCCAATAATTGTCAAAGTATATCATGTTGACAATAAAACTTTATTTTATAAAAAGAAAAGTTTGGCATCATAAGATTAAAAAACAGTCGAAAAAAATCATAAGAAATGACAGTAACTACATACAATTGTACGTAATTTATTGAGATTTCAAGATTTAAAATGAAAATAATTTAAATACAAATTTTGTTTTATTTCTATAAATTAATTTCAAATAAAAATTCATTTTCTTTTTAATTGAACTATAATTTAAAAAAATAATTCTGCACTTATATCATGTGATATTACCAATAAGTTCAATAATAACAAGTATAGCTACACATTTGTTTGTACATATGTTTGCGATGACAGAGATATTTAAATACTATGATATTTATTATTACAGAATTCATTTACCATTGTTCAATATAGGTCACAGATAATTGTCTTAATGATATAAAAATATTTAGATATTCACATAATAAGACGAAAGATTGAATAAAATAGAAAAAATAAATCAAAATTAAAACCATAGATCAAACCAATTTTCATTGTATTCAACTGTAAACGAGTCTTCTGTCTTTATATGAGAATGATCAATAATCCATTGTCGAAGATTTTTTCGTATTTCTTCTGGCAATGAACCTGTAACATCGACTGAAAGACGTGTTTTTTCTTTCCAAAGAGAAATAATTTTCAATACAAACTCATCAATAACAACTGTTGAATCTTTTAAAGTTATGACAAGATGACGAAGAGAGCTAAATATTTTTGATATACGTTGTAATAGATCAGACTTGACATCGATCCAATCCATAATATTAAGACGAATAATTCGAGTTTGTAATAGGCGACATGTAGATTCATCGTCGAATAATGTGTTAAGACAATCAAAATAAACGATCAAATAGTCAACATTTGGTGCAGCATTGAGCAAAGGAAATAATTCAAATATTCCAGATGTTTCAATCTGTTTGAGAAAAGGTAATTCTAGATTGATTGATTGTGATTCTTTTGGCAAAGTTACTAGACAAGCAAATAAATAATTTTTTAGCTCAAAATGTTTTATCTTATTTTAAAAAACATACAAATGCGAAAAATGAAAATGAAGAAAACAGACATATACTCAAAGAATATATGATAATGTATTCATAAAATTCAACTCATACAAAAAGAAGGGAAAACTTGCAAATCAAGATACTTACAAATTTGTGACTTATCTTTTGCATCAATAGTAAGTGTTCGAAGTCGACGAAAATGCTGTAATATGAGAAGTATCTCAAGTATAGATGTTATATCATAGATGTATAAATCTTTGATTCGTTGCATATATTTCCAACCGGATGGCATTTGTTTACTTACTGTTGCCGTTAAAATAGCTGAATGTACATCATATGGAATAGTATGAATTAGAAAGCGATGTCGTGGTTCATCTAACAAACAAGCGATAGGAATACGAGTTGATGAGAAATTAGTTGCTATTTCAGCATCTCGGTTTGACTTAGAAAAGTAATAACGAATGAAAAAATCAATTTTAACAATCGATGAAGGTAGAATTGCCATAAAATCCTGTTCATTGACTAGACGTTTGTCATCTGTACGCAGATCAAGTGCAAGCTGTTGCAAGGAAGGCATTGAATTGAGTAGATGAGCTATTTCATCGAACGTCCAAAAAAAATTGATTGAACGTAATTGAAAAGTGATCAGATGAACAAGACATGGTAGACTATTATTTGTTTGTTTTGATTTTGAACCATTTGACAATTCGTCTATATTTAAATATAAACGCCTTACATTCGGCACGAGTACAAAGAGACATGGAATCAATTTACATAATGTTAGATTTATGGTAAGCTCTTGAATATTTGGATAAGATATCATGTTAATATCATCCGATATACCTAAATCAATTGAATCTTGATCAATTGATACTATTGTAAGTCGACTATTATTCGCAGAAAGAACTTTTGTTAGAAGTGAATCTATTGCATTTCCTCTAAGAAATCGAATATCCAATTCGATGAGTTTTGAAAAATCTTGAATATTATCAATAAATGACAAGAATCTCTCACTAGTAAACCATTTAACTAATAATATTTCAAGTTGTGGAAATAATAAAGACAAACGTGAAATAAAAAGAATAGAAGATAATTTTTTATTTATGATTGTTTCCCAATTACCATTGAGTACAAAAGTTCGAACAAAAGAACCAATTTGAGGTAGAACATAAGAGACAGCATATTCAAATTGTTTATATGAGACAGCCATTAAATTAACATAACGACAATAACCTGTTATAGTAATATTAAGACGAGTATTAAGATTATAGAATGAATAGAGAACATCAGCTTCACGAAGATATTGACATACAGATAAAATAGTTTCATCGGGTAACATCTCAAAAGTTGAAACAAACATCTAGAACAATTATTGGTCAAATCAGAAAACGAAACAATTTCATTCGAAATGATTTTGTTCGTTATACATAAAACGATCGTTGTATCACAAACATCAAGTGAAAAACTAAAGATTTTTCTTGTGTCCATGCTAGCATATGTAACCATTACTTTGATCACACTTTGTACATATAATGTGTTGACAAAAAAATAAAAGAAAATAAAAAAATGGCTAAGTCATATTGATAGAACCTTTATTAAATATACCGTCGCATTGGAATATTGATAAGCCTATGAAAAAGTTTTCGTAGCTGTCGCTCTGTACTTATCATCTAATAGAATAAGAAAAAAAGATGCCAAAAAAATGATTTTACTATATAAAAATTTTCATCTTATCACCATAGATTTACAAATGAGAAGAAAACAATTGAAAGATTATTTTGTTTTTCGATGCTAATTTTATGACAATATCTTCTAAGTATCTATATCGCCTCTATTTATTAGAAAATGTTCTTATGTTTATTTGTATTTAAAATGTAATTAACAATAAAGAAAATATGTTAAAGTAATTGAATTTCTCAATATTATTCATTTTGCTAAATCTTCAGGATTCTGCGAACATCGAAAATTAGAAAAAAAAAAATAAAAGAAAACAAATGAAAGATAAAGGAAACAGAATGCATTCATTTTATTTTTTTAATGAGAATTAAAAATAGTTCTTGCTAAACTGAATGACGTTTTTACTTTATTCAGTCTATTTTTCGAAGAATTGGGCGAATATTTATTTATCTTTTATATCCTTCAATATTCGATATTGTTTAGTTTACTAATGTTTTGTTAAATTATTTAACAACTAAAATAATATTCAGTTCATTCTTAAAATCATAAGACTAATTTATTTTCTTATCATATGAATAAAGAACAGCAATAAAAGATCTATAGATTTAAGAAGATTGTTCATGTAACAATATTTTCATGTCACTATCTCATATTACTTTTTAACATTTAAAATGATATTCGAAATGGCTGAACATTTTTCGACACTAATTAAAATGTCGTTTCTTCTAAACAATTATTTCACAATTCATCCTATATCTTTATCAGATACTAAATGCCTTATTTTTCATGTGCGATGTTGTGTTTTACTATCTCGTAAATATTATTGTAACACTATACCATAAATTATATAGCTCATCGTGTTCTATTAATCCATTTCATTTAGTGATATGATAGATTTTTATGGTCAGAGATTATTATTTTCTGTGATGTTTTAATTCTAATTATTCTTATCATATTTCATACCTTCTAGACAGCATCATTATTGAGGAAAAAAGAAATTGTGAAGCAGATAAACATGTTTACAACTTATAAGTTATGACACTTGAATAAACCGAAAATGAAGAATCTGATAAGTATGACATGATTTGTCTGAATATCAATATAAAAATTTAGCATAAAATTAAAACATGTTGTTTTTCATTTTCTGCAAATACACTACAATTTCAGTGTCGTGTTCAAAAGTACTATCAAATATGTAGTCATTCTTTGAATATAAGATTTTCTAGAAAGAAAATTAATGTTTGAAGAGCTTAGTTCATCTACTAACAAAAACTTTTCAATTAAATTTGTTAATTGCAGTATAAAAAATGAAAAATTTAATAAGTATTACATTTTTTCCAACTCAATATATTTCTAATTAACTATAATGTTCAAAATATCCAACTAAGTAGTTTAGTGTGACTTTCACTTTGACATTAATCCTTGAAAATTATTCATGGAACCTTGTTTCCTATATCATTACCAATGATTATCTCGCTAGAAAAGAAATGAGTATAGTATTAGGAACACTTCGTTAACCATACAAGGTAGAAATCAGACCTGAGCATAGAACAACTTTTTCTGTTCTGTCATGTGCCCAGCTCTGGTAGAAATTGTACCTATATTGTTTTATGAATAAAAGCCACGTATCCAAAATAAAACAATAGAGTTCTCAAAATAGGAGCCTCACACGATTGTATCCCTCATAAAAACTTTGTCAAGGATGATTATCAGTATTAAGTTAGAATCCATTTACTTTAAATGAAAAATTTCATCAACAATGTTCTATCTAGCACGAGAATCGTGAGGGTAGTACTTCTTCGAAAATCGGGCTGGTCCTCTCGAAGTTAGCGATTATTGTGCCATGTACTATGTGTCTGTGCTTCCAAAAATAGGCGTTCACCCTCTAGGTGTTTTAAATCGTTCATTCAGAAGAAAAAGCATGGATAAAACCTTGTTCATCAGATTCATTCTTTTTCAGATCTGTGAAATTTCTAGTAGAAAAGATAGACATTTGTTAAATTCGACATCAAGATTTTCATCCATGCTGTATATAAGCCAAGAGAAACTAACATTTATTCTTCTTCCATTTTATGTTATTCTTGGGATTNTCATTCTTATACCTAAATTTAAAATTTAAATATCTCCCTCTGGGCAAGCCAACAGCCGCTAATATTTTAACCTTGTTAGTTTGGCGGTGAGAGCTTTCATTTGACCGGAATATGTGCCATCGTTTTAAGTTACAGTACAAACACCTCCATTGTCAGACAAACTAAAGTCGTTTAACATGAAACGCATATGGAAAAGAGGGGCAGTATAATTTTCTCCAATGAGGAGTCGCATAATACATTGGACTTGTTCCCTGAACCGAGATAGCTTTTCTCTAAGGACAAGTACATGTTTTGCCTTGTGGCTTCTTTGCATTATACTCAAATCGGCTCTTATTAGTTTTTGCAATCAATGTTCGGGTTGGAAATAATATTGTTCCCTAGGAGTGGTGCTGTAGTTTCATATAGCATCAACAACAAAATTTTATACCAAATTAAAGCGTGTCAACGATGGACTTTATCAGTACTAAATAGTAAGGGTTATAGCAACTTTTCAGTGTCGAGTTAAGAAAATTTCTAGAGTTTTATGCCATATTGACATAGAAAAATTCTTCATATGATACAGCTCAACATAGATTTCATTTAAAACGATGAATATCATAAAGTAATGTTTATTTTCTTAAGATTTGATGAATACAATCAGTAATCAATATGATGACCATTAGAGTTGTTTTCAGTACTAAGAGGAGATGCACACGAGCATAAAAGAGATTCACATAACTCACTGTTTGTTGTCGTGTTTGTCAAAGCATCTGAAATATGTATTTTCAGAGTTTCTTCATGATAATGATTATATAAATCCCATTTCTTACGCGCTTTAATTTGATGTACAATTTATTGTTGATACTATTTGAAACCACAGCGCTATCCCGTGGAACAATATTATTTCCAACTTTGTAGAATTTCATTTATCGAAGGTACTCCGTTATACAACGGATATGCTTTTTAAAATGGCGTATCTCCATACATTTATCTTTGACATAATCACTGAAAATGTCTCGATGGATCCATAAGTTGTACTAAAGCCCGATAATGTTCAACGCGCGCTCATCAAAAGAGGATATCATTTCGACTATTGTATTGACTATTTTATGAATGACAAGTGGCAATGTCATATTTATAGGCTTCCATTCATTATAGAACGTATGCATGCTGTAACTAAGAAATTTCATTGTGTTCTATTCAAGATTGTTGTAAATTACGTGTCCATCAGTTGTTTCGTCCATGCGAACATGATTTCTTTGCTCGAAGCTGTCAATCTTGTTTATTACTCAATAGATTAGGAATATTCAATGTAACTAGACAACAAAAAAAATCAGTACGTCAAATCCATGAACATGAACAAACATCTTCGATTATTGAGTACTCTCTTCTAGTAAAGCAATGTCTTTTTTAATCAAACACACATGTACCTTGTCTCAGCAAGTTATATGTTCGATATGAAGAATTAATGACTGTGACAGAGAGTTTCACAAGTGATGCTACTCGTGCAAAACTGAAATGTACTATTTTTGATTCATCGTCAGTTGTCTATTCAGAAAAGTTCTATCATTATTTTCCTTCATTTTAAGTAAATTGTACTTCTCATTCCTTTCTGATATCATATTTATGTGCCAATAAAAGCAGCTATAAAAATTCATTAATTATTTGATAGTATTTTTTGTGGAATATGCGACGTAAGCAATCTCAGTATTAATTGTGAATAATGATGATTGAGAAAGAGTAATTCTGATGAATACATGGCCTTAAAGAAATCGAAAAAAAAATGTTGTTGTATGCATAAAAATGATTGTTTCAGTATAGAGTTGGGTATTTTTCTTCTGATCACTTTCATAGATGTATGGTAAGTTTATTTCATAACTTTCTTGTTGGACATCTTCAGAGACTGAAACCCAAAAATTAATGATTGTAATTATTTCTCAAGGATAGCGTTGACTCCACTTTTCTTACTCAAAAATAAAATTTAAATTTTCATTAGCAACTCGAATATTGAAAAAGTGACACCAAAAAACTCCAAAGAGATTTACAGTACTTATTTGGAAGAGAAACTCAAAATATACTATGGATAATAAACTATTATTATAGGTATATATGTAATTAAATATTTTTTTTCAAACTGTTGTATTACAATTACTTTAATTTACATTAATCTTATATAAGAGTTTGCTCGATTCGAAGAAAATTTTAATTTAATTATGGAAATATTTCTTTTTTTAATTTCGTTCTAAATCTAAATCGGATTTGAAAAGATTTTATCAGTTGTTCATTTAAAGGATGAGAATGTCTGATTGGATACTGAATTAAAAAAATAAATTGCATCAAGAAAAAGAACCAACTATTTACACAGAACATCATGACGAATTTGATTTAAAAACTCGATTGTATCTGTTTAGTTTGAAACCCATCACTTATTTGTTCAAGTTTTTTCTTACAACATTTTTCTTTTTCTTTTATTAAAAACAAAAACTGAATCAACAAAAAAAAACAACAGAATACTATTGTTTAATCAAAAACTAACATAAGTAGATTCTAACACACATACAACAACAACAAAAAAAAAGATAATTACTAATTTTGTGACTGTTGAATTTGACCAAAATTAGGTCGTTCTTGAGGTATATAACGAGGTTGTCGTAACCATTTTCGTTGAAATGGTTGAGGAATATTGTATTTTTCACGTATATCATTTTGTTGATCTCTTTCAAATTTAATATCATATAAACTTCGTTCACAAGGCATATGAATTGGTAATATATTCGATTTTTCTTGTGTCAAAGAAGGTGAACATGAAGAATTCAATGAATAATTAAAAGAATTTTCTGATCGATCAAAACATTGTGATGGTGATGAACGATATGAAACTTAAAAATAAACTCTTAATAAATAACAGATTTATTTTAATAACTTACTAATTGTTCGACTTTTAGGTGGACGCATAAAAATACGATTTGTTCTTGGTATTGGTTTAACTTTTACCATTGTTTCGATTGAGTTATTTGATTTGTCACCAATCGATTGTTGTTGAGGTTGGACTTTTGATGATAATGATAATATATCATTATTATTAAGATTATTTTTCTTATTATTTACTAATAATGATGTATTGATTGATTGTTCAGTTGCCTTATTTGTAGAAATCGATGCAGTACTATTAAGAACATCTTGTTGATGAATTAGAAGAGAAAGTCGACGAAATGAATGTTCAATAAATGATGAGGAATTATTATTAGAATTCATATCTGATAAATCTAAAATAAATATAAAAATAAGAAATTAACATATTCATATTCAAACTTAATATAATAAGACAAACAAAAAGAAAAACTAATTATATCTTCTTTTTATGACATGTCGTCGATGAATAATAAACGACCATTGAGATAAATATTTGTTCTATTTAAATATTATAGATAGTTGTTTTTTCAAAATTTACTTAAGATAATTCTATAGAAGAATGAGTTAATCTATTTCGATGATACTCTCGATGATATAAATGATGAATAATAATAGTCAATAAATACTGAATCTTTTGAATATGTTCATGTAAAGAAACAACAAAAGATAAGAATAATGAATCTTTCGTTTTGATATAGAAAATAAAAATAAAAGAATGATGTAGTAAAAAATATTATAAAGTTACATAAACTTTGATATGAAACCAACGGATGAAAGTTGTATTGGATCATTATAATATAACGTATAATCAAATAATCTTAATGTTAATTTCATCAAATTGAAATACGTATGAAAATAACTGACGTGAACAGATAAAATATGTCGTATGTCGTTAGTTAAAACTTCGTCGAATGTCCAATTATTATCATTGTCGTATAAAAGAAAACAAATCGTTCAACGTACTGACTGATATTCACTCAGCCACCAACATGTTTAAATTAAAGAAAATAAAAAAAAAGAAAATGAACACTGACAATGATAATGAATGAAGCAATGCTTTTGATGAATAATATATTGAAAAGGATGCGGGCATGAATGTCGTCTTATCTTTATCTGGACACATCATCCGGTCGCGCTCACGTCGATGACTTATGCGTAGATGTTTTTCCTGAAGCCCTTCAGAAGCAGGTTTCACAAAGTTTCATGTTTCAGTTCATGAGAATTCAACGGTACACTTTTCCTTGATAAACAGCAAACTACATTTTAGTAATTCGCCTACAAAATTTGAACTAGCTCCTTACGTTATTAATTCGTCCCGATCTTTTGAGTGATTCGATAGATTCGACATTCATGGCAATAAAGGTAATGAATATACTCTTTTTTCATTTTAAAATATGGAGAAGTTAATAAGATGTCGATACAAGTAATAAGAATGATATATATATATCAGACTCTTAATCTGGACACATTAAGAAGACTGATAATAGGAAATGATGTCTAAATCAAATTTCAGTTTTTATCTAATTGTTTTTTCGTTAAATGGAGCTGTAACAAAATGGTCATCTTCAATTGTGATAAGGTGAGTTTGAATATGAAAGATTCTTATTAAAAATACCAATGCAAACTTTTGTAAAAAAGAAATCAATTTTTAATAAAAATTCATGAGTTTTCATATTAACAACACGCTAGAGTTTACGTGTGTCTTCAGATGTTCCACCGTTCTGAAAATCATTCATGTTCATTACTCCAGAAATAAAGAAAAATCAAAGAAAAGAAACCGAAACTTTGATCAACAACATTCCGATTCCATTTTATGTATCGGTAAAAATAATCCTTTAGTCAGAGATAGATCCAATAGTAGAATTAAGCAAATATTTAAAAAGACAAAAGACAAAAGTCAAAATTCAATTTCTCTTTTGTGTCTACTTATTTTTCGTCCTTCAGATAGAATCATACTTTTTTTCCATCTATGGAAATCCATATCAGAGCTGGTAGTAGGCCATTTTCTTTTGGCTTGACATGATCTGGTTCGAGATGCCTTCAGATCAATCCAGTCCGATAGATGCTTTTGATTTTACGAACACATTTAATTCTAGAACTCTGCATTAATGTATTATAATCATTTCAGTTGAACACTTAAATTATTTCCATAAATATTAGATAATAACGAATTCTTGCATGTAATAGCAAATTAAAACAAAGAGACAATATTAAAATTTTTCATTCAAGAAAACTTGAACGAACAGAGTGTTTTTAATCATATCAATTATGCTTCGCAAAATAAAAAAGTGCAATCATCATAGAATTAACAACATTTGATTACGCCTACTAGAAAGAGGTAAAAGAACATGCATAACAAAAAATGTAGGGAATAATCACTAATTATAATAACAGACAAGAAGACTTACATTTGATAATCAATCTTTGCAGCAGCACTAGCACAAAATATACCATTCAATTCTTTTGGATCTAAACAAGTTCTTCTCTCAGTCAATGTAAGTCATATAAGGCTAGGTTGCCGTTTGGTTCAAGCGTTCATTACTGGATTGGAATGAATTTTTTAGAGTACTCTCGGATATTAAGATGATCCATCAACATTTGATTCTCTAAAATTAAGAGCCAGGTCAAAAATTTTTATCTGGTTGGCCAGGTGGCTGTCAAGTAGCAGGCCAGATCGGTAGCTCTGATCCATATGAAACCGTTGCACAATTCTTGATTATAGTCGATTACTCTTTCAAAGAACACGACAGAGAAAAAAACAAAGTATATAATGAAGATCGTGTTCGATTTATTTCAAAATAGTATGAACAGAACAGACAAGAAACAAACACAGTTGAAATGAAAAATTAATGATTATTATCGTCATCATCAGACTCATTTTCATATTGATTTCTTTTTCTTTTTCTTTTCAGTGTTTCTTCAATTTTAGTTAAAAGTTCATTATTATGTTCTACTAAAATATCACGTAATTTTATTGTTTGTTGATGAAAATCATTTTTATTTGCAATTGTTTCAATCGATAAATTATTACTATTAACAAGTAATTTTAATTGTTCAAGTTGCATATTAGTTAATTGACGACATGAACATATGTCAGCAATACGTTCTTTGATTAACTTAAAGAAAAGAAAATATATAGAGAAATTTTTTGTTATTATGTTGAAAACAAACTTTGAATTGATTATTATCTCGTTGAAGTTGATTAATTTTATCTTGTAATTGTTTAACAGTACTTGTTTCTAGTTGACGATATTTTTTTTCTAAGTTACGATATTTTGCTTCTGCTTCTTCCCATTTTTTTTTATAATTTATATTCGTTTTTTCTTCATTGAGATTCGTTTTTGATTGATCAGGAACATAACTTGAACCTGTTTTAGATTGTAATTTATTTACAGTTTCTTTTAATTTTTCAATTTCATCAATTTGAGCTAAAAAAAAGAAAGATTAAGAAAAAAAATCAATTTATATTGTTTACTTTTTTGTTGTTGTGCATAAACACGTGTATCTTCTTGTCGTAATGTTTCACGTTCATCGACTCGGGTTGTATATCTTTTTAATAATTCCATTAATAAAGAAGATGAAGATTCATCTTTATTTGGAGAATTTTTATCCATGAAAAATTATTTTAATCTTAAGATAAAATTCATTCATTTTATAGATAGTAATTAGCTAAAAGTCTAATATATCATAACGATTATTATCCAGTCAATTAGTTTAATGAAGATTGGTTAAAAGTTTAAACAAGATATATTAATGAAAAAACTTATAGAAAACAAAAAATCTAAGAACAAACATTTAGTTATAAAACTACAACAACAAAAATCAGAGAATGATATGAGAAAAAAAATTGATTATCCAAACTGAACGGTCAATAGAAAAAGATCTAGAAGTGTCACGAGATGATCATATTAGCATTAGTAATTCAAAAAAAAAGAAATTTATGGTATCAATTTCTTATGACATGATTCTTTTGAATACACAGGTTGGAATATAATTTAGGATGAATTTCCACAGTTTTTGCAAATAATCTATATTCACAATAATAGAACCATTCATATCACAGTTTTTTGTTCGAATTTATATATGAAAGTAAAATTCTGAATCACTGTAAATCATATAAATGTAATGCTTCATATGATTGAACAACAATTGAAGAATATGTTTTACTATTTATATCATGAATCAAACAAATATTACACGCTACTTTTTTAATATTGTTTTGTTTATATTCTTGCGGATCAGTTTGATCAATTAAATATAAACCTTGATCACCATCAGCAAATAACCATCGATAATGATCCATAGGATATAATATTCCAATCCAATTTTTGAAATCATTTTCTTGTTGAATTGTTCTACCACGACGTATTTTATTCATCGTTAATACATCAAAGATATCAATTCTCCAAGAAAAATTATTTTCTTTTATTGTCATACCAAGATATTGATTTACAGCTCGAATACAATTAATACCTATATCTAAAGATTCAATTAAACTATCTTTTAACCATGTATTTAATAAATTTCCATTATTAGAATTGAATTCCCATTGTTCAATTGAAAAACCAAATAAATAACAAATAAATATATATTTAGATGTATTTGTTATTGACCAAATTATATTAGAAAATTTATGAATTATTTCAATTTGTCTATTAGATGATAATGAATAAATTGTATTTGAACTTGATAAAAGAAAACAATTTAATATCGAATGAAAACACATATCTGATATTGGACTTTCAATAAATGGAGTAATTGCTATAGAAAATATAACTTCAAACTTTGGTAGACTCAACAATATTAATGTTTGATGATGATAAATAAGTAAATGATTATAATTATCGGTTGCCATTGGACATGATGACATTGATGGGAGAATATAAGTTGATATTGGTTGACGATTATCTAACATTGCTATTTCATTAGGAGTAGTTCTTAATGTACTCAAATGAAAAGACAAATCATCAATATCTGTCTCCATTACAATTTTTTTCTATCTAAAGTGATCAAATCTATGGATTCTATCTTATATATTCATTTATTTTAAATATATTTCATTAGATTTTCTCAACTTATTTCACTAATAACACTTTCTAATAAATATTTTCTTTGCTTAAATAACTTTCATTCTTTTAAATTTTGTTTATTTGTAACAATTACGTTGTTGCAATAGATACGAACGACAAATTCATTTGCTAAAGACTATAAACACATTTTATCAGATTCTTTCTTTATATTTATTGCTTGCTCAGCAAAACAAACAAAGTAAAACTATGTGCATTTTTTTTCGTATTCTAATCTCTCAAAAAAAAAAACATTCATTTCTACAATCTCTGAAGATATTTATGTACGGTAGGTGATAGTGAGCTAGTACGGTAAAAACAACAACTGTGAATCGAAAAGATATTTGAGACGCATCCATTTTTTGAAACTTCTGACTTTCTCATATTGTCTGCTTTTCTTCCCACATTATATAAGATACTTCAACAAATAAAACTTGTATATTATTTATTCAATATATGGATTTTTAGTACTCCCGAATTTGTTGTTGATGGCTCATATAATCAGAGTTGGAATTGAGCTAGATGTTTTTTTGAAGATCGATCAGATTTCATAGGTTGAGAAAAGAAAAACAAAAGACAAACTATTTTATTTAGAACCGATTGAAAGTCAAGTTGAAAGATATATAGGTGATGTTGTCTATCGAAACTCGAGGATTAGCTGATTCAAATTTTATACTACCAATCAACATAAGTTAAATGACTTATTTTTTTAAATCTATTAGAAACTTCTAAAGTGCTTCAATCATAAAGTGGATAGAAACGTAATTTATCATATCTCATTTGACTTAATACAAGAGATACGTTAGAAAAGGACAAAAGTTGAAAGAACTTTTTTGGATGATATTTGATACCGCACTCTTTTCTCATTCAAAGTTCTTATCTCTAAAAAATAATTTTTATTTTTCTTCGAAACTACAGACTATGTTTTTATAATATAAAAGACTAAACTCTCTACGATGTTTCTAAGTGGAAAGCTATGGATTGAGATATTAATATTGATGTGAAGCTATCACAACACTATCCATCACCACGATCGTGTGGACCACTTCGTTGGTTGTCCCCCTGGAACCAATCGAAAAATTCGGCAGAGGGCACACCTAGTCGGAAATATCAATTTTGAAGCACATCACCCCACCCACCGCCTTCCACAAGTTCTCAACACTTCCACAAACAGCTAATCCAGGCAAAATCTCCACAAACAATTCCACAACAAAAAAATTAATAAAAAATATAAATAATTACTATTGTGGTGGTGGTACTCAATACATCGGATTTTTTGAGTCTCAGAAGGTCTGCCGGGATATGTGTGATATATCGTTGGATTAAACTTCAGGTGGGATATCGATTTCACCTCTCATTCTCTCCCGGCAAACCTTTCCACAAGGAAAAAATTAATAAAAAAAATTAATAATTAGTGTTGTGGTGATGGTGGTACTCAATACATCGGATTTTTTGAGTCTCAGAAGGTTTTTCGGAATATGTGTGATACATCGTTGGATTCAACTTGAGGAGGGCTATCGATTTCACCTCTTCTTCTCTACTGGCAAACCTTTCCACAACAAAAAAATTGCGAAAAAAAGAATTAATAATTAGTGTTGTGGTGGTGGTGGTACGCAATACATCGGATTTTTTGAGTCTCAAAAGGTTTGCCGAAATATGTGCGATACATCATTTGATTCAGTGTGATCAGGCGTATCGATTCCACCTCTCATTCTCTCCTGGCAAACCTTCTGAGAGTCTAGAAACCCAATTTCATCATTACCTGTAGCACAAAATTATTAATGTTTAATAATTTTTATTATTTTTTTGTGTGATGGGAAGGTTTGCTGGAAGAGAACGAGAAGAGGAATCGATAGTCCCGATCTAGCTGAATCAAATGAAGTATCACAAATCTCCCGGCAAACCTTTCGACACTCAAAAAACCCGATTTATTGAGTATAACCCCCAGAATACTGATTATTAATAATTTTTTATTAATTTTTTTGTTGTGGAACGGTTTGTCGGGTGAGATGTGGTTAAAACTTAACTATTTTCATTATTTGGAGAAGGGTTTATCGCAGTTGCGGATCGATTTCGAGAATTATGTTCGCAGCGGAGGTTAACCAATTTTAACAAGCCTATAAATTGGATTCATACGTATAATTTCATAGGATTTTATTTTGATTCTTTTCTTTTCTATAGATAAAACACATAAAGTATTTGTTTTTTTTTCTTCATTATTTTAGTCAAATCCAATAAACAGAAGAAGTGTTTGATAATATATTTTTTCAAGCAAATCAAAACAAACGAACCAGAAATAAAAACGTAGCTTTGAAAACAAATGTAATAATAATAAATTAAAGTTTTTTTCCCGTCTCGTTATTATCGAATAAAAGAATCAAGAAATAAGAGATTCCAAACACGGCACATTCATACACACGCTGTAAAATAATGAAAACAAAAAGGAAAAACAAAAAGGAAAAACAAAGAGATATCCGTCGTTCTTTTTTATGTTATTGTTAAAGTATTTATTGGCAATAAACATTAAGTTGAATACAACATTGAACAAGAATCTTAACAGCCGCCATATATTGACTTGTTTCAGCTAAATTTTCACTTGCAACCAATTGATTATAGATTGTAAGTGATGTTTGATAATCATATAGACGAATATAACCTATAATTTGGTGAATACCTTGTAAAACACTTTGTGGAACCTCAAAAATAAAGAAAAGAACAGAATATTTTTCGTTTTAATGAAATATTCAAAGAAAAAATTTACTCGATTTTCTCGAAGTTTATCATACAAAACATCAAGTTTCTTTTTTACTTCATCTAATTTTCGTTTTAATGGTAATAGTTGTGTTGCTTGTTGGCATCGACTCATAAGTAAATCAAATGTATCTTGTATTATTTGATGTTCACTTGGTAATGGACCTTTAACAACAGGTGCAGGTGGAGGTGGAGGAGTTGGTGCTTTACGAACTGATGGCTCATGCGATGGAGGAACAGAATGATGAAGAAAATCAGACGTTGTTGTTGGAGGAAATATAGGTGCTGTTGGAGAAAATACAGGTGCTGTTGGTTGATTTGTTATTGCTGGATTGAAATGAAACGATGACTGAGAAGGTTCATTACCTCCAGGAAGAAATGGAGAATTCGTTGAAGTAAAACCATCTGTTGGAGGACCACCAGGAGGCTAAACATTTTGATTACAATGAATAATTAGAAAAAATTATGAAGATAGATTTTACTTTAGCTGGATTTGGTTTTGATGTTTTCATCACAACTGTTGGAGGATCATTCCATGCACCAACTGGTTTAAAATCTTGATAAGATGGAAGTGAAGGAACTACGGGTGGTACATTTGAAGAATCAGTTGGTGGTGGTACTGGATTTGTATGTCCTAATAAAGAAAAAAAAGAAACGAATACTTAAAATTTCTGTAAAAACAAACCATGAACAAATTGTTGATTAGACATTATTGGTGTTGGTGTATAATGTTGAGGGGCAGCAGCAGTAGGATTATAAAGATTTGGTTGATAAGATGGAACTGCAGGTTGTGCTGGATAGCGACTATAATCAATCGAATGAAAAGTAAAATTTTGTGTTTTTGTTTTTCGTTTCGTATTCATATATTTACTTGGTTATCGGTGCAGTTCCTGGTCTTATACTAAGATCACTAGTTGGATTTTGTGGTGGGGACCAATTCGTATTCGTTGGTGGTACCAACGGTTGTTCAGCAAAAGGTTGAGGTCGAAAATGTTGTGGCATAGTAAAACTTGTTTTTCGTTGTTGTTGTTGTTGCTGCTGCTGCTGCTGCTGTTGTTGTTGTTGTTGTTGTTGTTGTTGTTGTTGTTGAGGTGTAGGAATATCAACTCTTCGAAATGGACTTGGAGGTTTTGGAATACCAGTCAATTGATTTGTTGCCAAACCATAATAAAGACGATCGCGTAGAACAACAAGTTCAGGCTAGATTTGAAAAAAAGACAATGAAAAAATTTTCTTTTTATTTCTATCAAATAAATGAAATTTACTGTTTGTAAATTTCCTAAATAAACAAGTGCTGTTCTTGCACAACCCTCATTAGCTAATAGTTGTCCAAATAAAGCTAAATGTCGACTAATTGATGGTCCATCCATAGATGCTGATGCTACAATTGTTTTCTTTTGTTGTTGTTGATGTGCAGTAGCGTAATCTACTGAACGTTTAAGAACAAATAATTTTTCAATTAATTGTTCTAATTGCATTGATGACATTGCTTGTTGTTGATATTTACTTGACCAAGCTAAAGCAAATTGTTCCAAATTTCCCGTACAAATAAAACATATTGACGCATATGTACGATATGAATCACTGGTACCAATGTGTTGTTTAGCTAAATGATAACCAAGTTTATTACATAACTCAATAAATGTTGAACCAGTTGTATATGTAAGAAGTGCAACAAGTATATCACGCCAATTTGTCATATTACTTGATTCAATTAAACGTGACCAATCTTGACTTATAATAATATCAATTAACTAAAACAAAACAAAAAATAATAATAAATTATTTATTTAAATAAATAATTTTTTTCTACAAACTTTTGTTGTTGATGTTTGAACTTTTTCAAAATATCGTTTTTGTGTTAAATATAAAAGTTCTTGACCACCAATTTGAGCAAGAAGAAGTGCATCTGTATAACGTTGTTCATGAAAACATAATTCAACAGCAGCTTCAAATTGTCCTAGCATAATGCATCGACCTAATAATGTTTCAATTTCTAAAACAAAAAAAAAAAAACAAAAGAAGAAATTTAAATCAATAAAATAATCTGTTTTGTTTTTTACCAGCATTTGAAATTTTTTTAATTTGATTATCATTAATATGTAAACCATTGATAGCATCACTAGGTATGTCATGTTTAACATCTTTTGTTAATGTTTGAACTTTTTGTAAAATATCATCAGGGCGAAAACCTAATAATTCAATATATTTAGATCTTGGATCACTTTCAAATGAAGCACGTAAAAAACGCCATATAATTTGTTCATCTTGAGATAATGATTTTGAAGATATTTGATGATCACAATACTCAAGTAATGTACCAGCTTGTAGCATTGTATCAAATGTTTCAACAGCTTGAACAAATACATGATCGACAACAATTTGTTGAATAATTACTGGTGGACGACGATTATTAGTTGGATTTGGAGATGATGGACCCGATTCTGTTGTTGATGGAGTTGGAGGAGGTTGAACAATAACTAATTTACCACCAAACTAAAAAAACGAACGAAAATATGTGGGAAGAATTTGACTTTTTCAAAATAAAGTTTTTTACACCAAAAGAAACTCTTGTTTGACGCCGCATCCATTTCGGTGCATATTTAATAGGTAATACATCATGAGTAGTTGTTGATGGAAGTGTTTCTGATGACGGAAGTCCATCACCAAATGCTTGAGTAAATAGTTGATTATTAACTGGACGAGAAACTTGACATGAACCACCCATTAATGTATAAATACTTAATGTACCATCAAATGATGAAGCCGATATTAAATTTGGATCAACTAAATTTTAAAATATAATAAATTTTATTTCAACCGATAGCAAAACTATTTTCATACCAAGACACCATTTAACATCGAAACACCAATGATTACATGGAATTTCATACACAATTTCAGCCAAAACACTTAAATCATTTGGATTCCAACATAGTATTTTATTATCTTTACCACTTGACATTAATAAATTACTATCATTAGGTGACCATTGTAAATCCAGAATACCTCTAGAAAAAAAAATAAAATAAAATAAAACTCATAATAAAACGTATTGATGGAATCCCAGCGGGATTAAAATGGGAAATACAATCTAGCTGCGATCGGTAATCACAGAAGAACTTTTTATTCTATCTGACTTGGGACACATTCTTCACCTTCATTTCATTTAATATTCCAGAAATAGAGTGAGGAAGCAGTTTATACATTGCAGCGAGTCGTTATTGATATACACTCTCTATTAGTCTCCAACTAGCACCTGTCACGAACTATCCATGAAGGTGATGCAAATTTCTATCCTATATACTTTAACACTCGTCTTTAGATTGTGTTTCACAAAATGAATAAACAAAAAATATAATAACCTTGTATGTCCACTAAGTAATTTCATGGGACTAGCTCCATAACGAAGATCCCATAATTGTATGGCTGCTGATTGATCTTCTTCACTTGCTAAACATAATTGACTTGTTATATCTGGATGCCAAACAAGGCGATTTGCACGCATACGATATGTTGAATCACTTATTTTAAAAATTGGTTCATTACTTGATTTCAAATCCCAAATAAGAGTTTTTCCACCAAGAGTTGAACCAAGTATATGAGATTTTTGTTTATTCCATGCAACACATTGAACATCTTCATCAATATGATGACTTGCTGATGATGTACCACCAGGTATCATTGGTTGTTTAAGATCATTTAAATCCCAAATCATTAATTCGGAATTTGATCCACCACTTGCAAATAAATTTGATTGAAGAATATTTATATCAATTGAATAAACACTTCCAGTATGTTTATCAAGTTGTTGAATTATTGTTTGAGCCATTGGATCAACTAAATAAATGCGACCTTTTTCTGTAGCACCAATTAATAAGTTAGATGATGACCAAATTAATTTATTAAAACTAAAAACAAACAAAAAAATACAATGAATTAGAAATATAAGAAGAAAAGAAAAACAAACCGATGATCTGTTTTTACTGATCCAATTGGTGCCATAGCCATACTTCTATCAGCTAAATTAACTTGAAATAATTCTAATTGTGAATTTGTACTATAAAAATAAAATTATTTCAATAATTAAATTCTTAAATTAAACTAACCTAAAACTTGCATCAAGTTGTTGTGCAGCTGTACCAGTAACTAAATAATTTCCATTTGCTTTTTGTTCTTGACTTTTAGCTGGTGACCAAGCGACATGAACAGTTCGATCAATTTCTTTTAATTTCATTTCTATTTTAAATAGAAAATAAAATTCAAAATTCAAAATCTAAAATCATTATATCGTATATTATTCTCATTTGTTCAAAACAAATCACATATAAAAATCAATCATTTATATATATACAGAAAAACAACTTATTATTTGTTTTAGTTTTTTATGCAACATAAATCAATCAAAAATAGCTCCACAAAATTGACAGCGACGTCGTCGCATTGCTAAACAACAAAGAATACCAATTGGAAAAAGGAAGATTGCACAACAAACACCTAAGCATGTAAAATCAGTTTCTAACATGCCAACCTAAATAGAAAAAATAGATCTAGTTTGACAAATAAATCATGATAGACATACTTTGCAAGCTGGACAACCGCCAAGAACAATAACTGTAGGTGGTTGATAACCTAATGCATATGGATAAGATGAGGCACTTGTTGTAGTAGGTACTGTCCCTCCAACATGACCTATAAATGTTCCATATGAATCTGTACCTTGAAATAAATTAACATTTTTGACATTTTATTCATGAAAAGTAACATGTTATACCAAGGTTAGTTGCATTTTGATATGGAGGAGGATTCTCATTTTCATCAATCATCAATTTCTGTTGATCAACTAGAATATTTGATGTCATTTTGAATTTATCTTGAAATAAGTTTTGCTTCAATATGTGGCTTAAATTAGCCAAAATTCAAAAGATACCACGTCGACTATCCCTGTTTATTTTTTGATTGGTCAATAAAATCCATTACGAAAGTTTTTCTTCCTTCAAATTTTCAATATTTTCTATATTTTTCTCATGGTTCCAATTACTTATATAATATTTAGAATAACAAATAATTTTTTAGATTTATTTAAATAAATTTCTTTTGAAAAAATGATTTTGAAACAGCTGACTATGACTCATCGATTGGTTCTTATCAGTGGAGAGTATATTTTCGCCGTTTAGTTATCTTTATATTCATGCGAAACTTTTTCTATTAGCAAAAACAAAAATTCTATAACTATTGCAATATTAAATATGGCGTCTATTAGTTTTTTTCAATGTCTTTATCGTATTATAATGGCGTACGTTAATATTTTCATAGTTTGTCTTTAATCATTTTTTTTTGCAAATTAATTAGACTTACTCGTGCTATTGTATTTTCAATATTTCCGGCTCCAAAAAAACCCATCAATGATGAAATCGTTCTTATAACTGGTTCTGGTGGTGTTTTAGGTCGTGCACTTGCTGTTGAATTTTCAAAATATGGTGCATTTCTTTGTTTATGGGATGTAGATGAAGTAGAAAATCAAAAAACATATGAATTATTATATACGCAATATAATCATCGTCGAATGGTTGCTATGAAAGTTGACATAACGTTTGTTATTTTGATCTTTTTATTATCAAATAATTTTTTTCATCTTTCTATGTAACCAATAGAATACCTGAAGAAATTCATCGAGCAGCAGACAAGATTCGTCAAGATATTGGAAATGTATCAATTGTTGTACAAAATGCGGGTAGAATTCAATATTGATAAATATATATTATAAAATGAGAAACTCAATGCTGATACTATTTAGCACAGGTGTGGTGACATGTAAAAATGTTCTCGATCTTAATCCAGAAGATATTAAACGAACATTTGATGTTAATATTATATCACATTATCATGTAAGAATAAAATGAAAATGTTCGAAGATATAATATTCGTTTCTTTTTTTCAATATAAGATTAATCAAGCATTTTTACCAGCTATGATTGAACGACATTATGGTAAAGAGTTTATTGAAGAATAAAAATCAATAATATTAGTATCGTGCTTATTTAGGACATATTGTAGCTATTGCTAGTAATTGTGCCCTTTTTGGTTTATCACATTTGGGTGATTATTGTGCATCAAAATTTGCGATTATTGGTATGATTTTAAAAAACCAAGGTTTCTTCATATTAATAAATTTTAGTTTTGTTTAGGTTATATGGAATGTGTTGAAGATGAAATTTTTCGATCAAAATGTTTAGGAGTTAATACAACAAGTTTGTTAAATTATTTTATTTAAAAAAAAAAATTTCTTGTTTGATTTTAGTTGTTATTCTTGGTCCATTGAAAGGTGGTCTCAATAAACGTGTGACAGAAATTGTTATGTACATATTATTATTAGTTTTTTTCTTTTAAAATTTTGATTTCTTCTGTTTTAGTCCTGATTCTGTTCATTTTCTTCCAACAAGTATTTGTGCCGAAAGAATTGTTCAGGGTGTTATAACCAATCAAAAATTTTTATATATTCCAAAATATTATCGTTTATTGGAATTTGTTAAAAGGTAAAGAAATAAAGGAAAATTATTGTTGACTTTTTTTGTTTTATTTCAATATCGATCTTTTATTATTTAGTTTTCTTCCATACGACGCATTTAAGGCAATTCTTAGTTATGTACTCAATGTACATGATCCAAATTTAACACGAAATCGTTCACGAAGACCTGCTCGATTATGAACTACAAATAAAATTTTATTGTGTCGTTTCTTTTTTTGTTCGTTTGTCATACATGTGATTGCATCTATTCGTTGCACTTTGATAAGAAAATAAAATGAAAGGAAAAAAACAAAAGTATAGAAATTTCTTTTTTTTTTAAATTAAATACATCAGAATAACAAAAAAAACGACGTTTATGTTTTGAACGGAATAACTGCTTAATAATAATAATCAAAAAGAAAAGACATGAAATGAAAATAAAGAATTATAAAATATATAAATACGTATATACTTGAAAAAGATTTTTGTTTTCTTCTAACGAACAGTACGCACACCTTCAGTTTGTTGTCGAATAGCTCGATCAATAATTGAACGTATAGGACGTTCTATTAAACCATTTTTTGATATTGTATGAATAAGAATAGCAGCTTCGGCTAAATATTCATGTTCTTCAAGTAATTGTCGAGCTGTTCGACGTTTTTTTGGATTATAAATCAATATATCCTATTTGGTTTTTGTATTCATAATATATAAAATAAATCAATAGAAAAAAAACTAATATTTTACTTTAAGAAATTGTCGACATTCATTAGACATTGGTAAACGAGAAAGTTGAACATCATCGAGAGGAAATCTTGGTAAACATGTTTGATAATAAAGACATTGAGCAATTTCAGGCCATTCCGAAACCGTTGGTGTACCTAAAAGTCTAACCCAAGAAAGAAAAAAAAATGAAAGAATTCAAAATAATTCAAAAAAATATTTACCGAAAGATAAGTAATAATTGATCAATTTCACATTCGCCACGAAATAATGGTTCTCGAAGTGTCATTTCAGCAAATACACAGCCAAAACCCCATATATCTAAAGCCGTTCCTAGAAACAATTCCACCATTTTGTTTTTGATTTAATTCAAATTTAAAATAAAAAAAAGAAGTTCAACTAACCGTAAGTAGGTGCATTAAGTAATACTTCAGGCGGACGATACCATAGTGTCACTACTTCATGAGTTAAAGTTCGTTCAGGCATATGACATTGACGAGCTAAACCAAAATCAGCTAATTTCAAGCGACCTATTTTAACAAATGAATTATCTTTTAAAAAACTAATTAATAAATCAATTATAACCTTCATAATCAATTAAAATATTCGGTGGTTTCAAATCTCGATGAAGCTGAAAAAACAGACAAGTCAACATATGTTATCTACAGATAACAAAAAGAGTTTAAATTCTTACAATACGATGACGATGAAGACATTCAATAGCACTTAATAATTGATAACTGTAACTCTACATATAAACAATAAAAAATTGATTTTTTGATTAATTAAAATTTTTTTACTTTAACAAGTCTAGGACTAAGTCGTTCACCAGGTCCGAGTGCATCCATATATCTTTTAAGATCAATTGGAAGAAATTCAAGATATAAACATAAATGATTATAACCACTATTATACGATGGTTCAAATGCAACATGATTTAATCTTAATTAAATAAATAAAACAATTAAAATAGAAATGATTGTCAATGTCAAACTTACTTAATAATATTTTCATGTTGAGTTGATTTAAGAACAACTATTTCTCTGACAGCTGTTGCTGGTAATTCATTTTCTTCTTCTTGTTTACTTGTTAGTTTAATTGTTTTGCGTGCAAGACGTTGACGTGTATTTATATGGCGTACACATTCAACAATACCATATGTACCTTAAGAATAAAAATAAAAAACATAAAAGATAAAAGATAAATATTAGAAGATAAATGAATACCTGAGCCGAGTGTTGATTCAGCAATCCAAAGTGATACAGATGGTCGAATTAAGGAACTTGAACTTCGACTGTATTGCATAGTCCAATGGTAAATGTTGTTTTTGTTGTTACTATTTTTATCTGACTTGTTATTCTCGTACTTATCGAATGAATTAATGACTTTAAACGGACAGCGATGGGTACAATTGTGATTTGGACGAGAGAAAAGAAGAGAATAGAAAGAGAAAAACAGGAGAAAATGTACAGACTATAATGTTATCCTATGTTAGTAGAAACACATTAGACAACGGAAAAAAAAATATGCCTATGAAATTTATATTGCATTTTGACTTACATATCGTTTTCAATACTTTGGAAGAAAATGGAAAAATATTCTAAATAATCTATCATATCCTTCCAAAAAAATTGAATACTGTAAAAATTCATATTCTTCAAGAATAAATCAATTCATATAATATTTCAGAGGTATATTGCAACGTCAAAATATCTTTACATACTTTCACTCTGTTTTGTATTACAATCATGCAACATCGTCCTCATTGAACAATAAATCTAGTCTGAAAGTCGCATCTAGAATAAGTAGTCTGAATATTCAGAAGAATATATGAACATAAAAAAAGTTCACTATTATGAGAAGAAAACAAAAATACTTCATTAATAAAGTTTTATAAAAAAAAAGAAAACTAAACATTTTCTTTTCCTTTAATTATATGCTAAAAGATAGTGCTTTACTCCATGAATATTTACGATGAAAATTCGCAGTATTAATATATTGAATAAATGCATGTTTCAGTTGTTTTCGAGTAATAAAACCAAGAAAATCTCGTTGAAATTTGATCATGTACAGTCGATGTCCCCAATAAGAACAGACTTTTCAGAGGTGTCAGTAATTTACTTTGTTATTGATCAAATTTTTAAAATTATAAAGTTTTTTTTTACATTTCTGGGTGTAGAAATGTTTGCTGCATCGAATGATGCAAAAGTTATTTTATTATCTCGTAAATTAAACCTATAATTAGCGGTATTTTACGAGTAATTGAATTTGTTCTTATTAGGGTCGCTGTTCCTAATAAGAACAGGCCATATAAAATATATGGAAAAAAAATTTTTTTAGTAAACGAACTTTTTCTAATTTGAACTTGAAAATATCGATATATTCCTGAGACAAAAATTTTTTGTTATTAATCATGGAGTTAAGATTTCAAGGTTCAGATTTTTTTGATTTATAATAACAGAGCTATTAAATTTTAAAAAATAACTTGTCTGTTCTTGTTAGGAACGCTGTGCCCAATAAGAACAACCAGCGAAAAATGTTCCTAATAAGAACAACCTATATAAATTACACAGAAAAAAAATGTTTTTTAGCAAATAAACTTTTTCCCTATTTAAATTTGAAAAGTTTTTCATGCGTCCGCATAAAAAAATCTTTGTCTATTAATTATACATTAACTTCCAACGGTTCAACTCGAAAGCATCTATCCTGTGATGAGTCTGATAATATCAACGTTAGTGTTGGATATTTGATTTTCGATTGCACTCTAAAAAAGATTTTCGAAAGCGATTTTGGTTGGCTCGATTCCTTTATAGATTTCTTTGGTTAGATAAAATAGAATCACAACAATAAACTACTGAAATTAATTTATATCACATTACAAATTATTTTATTTTCAATTGGTAGTATTGTATTGAATTACACTCTTATTAGATAGCACTTATTCAAATGTTTAAACACATCATATTGATATAGTGGAGAATCATGAGAAGAGCAAATTTGTCTAAAGAATATTCCACAAAAGCTATTGATCAACGTAGTAAGAGTGCATATTATCTGCAACACCATAAGCGTAAAAGAACAATCTTCAAAAGTGAATTCAGAATGTCGATCAACTAAGTTAACAATAAAAATTGGCAGAATATCTGCTTTTTCTAATAGTTCTATCGCTGCAAAAACATTCATCGTACATGTCTAGATGGTTTTCTTATTTTTCGTATTTCGTTCAACTATCATAATGGGTCGACATAACTTTTGTACTTACTTATACCTTTTTTTCTTCAAACTTACGAAGATATCTCATCATTTATATACAAGCAAGTAATTTATGCAGCTTTTTTGCCAACATTCTTTTCTGAATACATCTGTATGAAATGTTTTTTTCTTTACAATTAGGACCTTATGAGATAATATTTATCTGGCTATTTCGATTTAGTATCTCATCAAGACATCGTACAATTATTTGTTTTGAATATTAATCATTTTTCTTTTTAAATATTTAGTTACACTTTTTAAGAATCTAATTACTCAGTGAACTCTAAATTGACTATTTACTCTCACTATTTTTAAATTATGCAAAAAAATTGATCGAAATAAATCTAACAGCAATATCATGTTTCTCAATCTTATCATCAGTTTATTTTATCAAATTCAGATTTATTCTACTTTGATTCACAACGATAACCTCTCATCAATGTTGTGCCAAACAAACGATTGTCTGCTATATCATAATTATTTTTCTGCATCTTATTTGCAATAAAAAGAACACAATAATACAAAGAAGATGTGGAAACGCATAAAAGTTTTTATATTTTGTATGGGAACGAAGTTGTGGCTGAATTTTCTTAATTCAACTAATAATTATATTCTCGATCAGTAATATGACAATTTCGAAATCATATCATTGTCAAAACAGAAAAAAATATTTTTTCTTGAACTGTTGGAAGTTAATGTATCATTAATAGACCAAGGTTTTTTTATGCGGACACATGAAAAAATTTTCAAGTTTAAATAGGGAAAAAGTTTATTTACTAAAAAACATTTTTTTTCTGTGTTATTTATATAGGTTGTTCTTATTAGGAACATGTTTTCGCTGGTTGTTCTTATTGGGCACAGCGTTCCTAACAAGAACAGACGAGTTATTTTTTAAAATTTAATAACTCTGCTATTATAAATCAAAAAAATCTCAACCTTGAAATCTTAACTCCATGATTAATAACAAAAACTTTTTGTCTCAGAAATATATCGATATTTTCAAGTTCAAATTAGAAAAAGTTCGTTTACTAAAAAACTNTCAGGATCTCTAGAAAAAAGTACCATACTCGGATTTAGCTGAGATCTAATTGATGAAACTAGGATAGGATTGTAGAGAAATGATTGATCGAAATCGGAGTAAAAATTGATGAGAAACTTTGATTTTATTGTTAAAGCTGAAATTAACTATAATTATATATTCGCCCCAGTATACAATGATTGATTCTTCATTTACCCGAAATGGGGGCGAATCGAGAACACCTTAGGGCTCTCTGAAAAACTGCTGTAGAGTCTGCTCTCGACGAGATTTTTTAAATCTGAAAACGGCAAATTAAAGAAAAATGTTTGCTCTACATTTGTTTGCGAGGGAAAGTTTTTTCTATCTTCAAAAATGATGAAGATAGAAAACTTGAAAAGTGAAAATACAAAAAAGCCTCTACATTCGCCCCGCATGTCTCTATGTGCATCAAGCTATACGATAAAAAGTTATTCGGTAGACATATAAACATAAAGAAAATAAGGTAAACATCTACATCTACTCTATATGTTTGTATTATTATTGAACGAAGAGAAACAAACTTACGTTTCAGCTTCACGTTGTTGATTCATCGTTTGTATTGTTTTATCTAGCATAGAGAAAAATATTTTCTTTTTGCCAAAATATTTTTTTTTAATCTTACCACAATGAGTTTTCATCCAATCAAGATAAGTGTGTACTAGTCGTAATCGATCAATTTCAAAATCTTTTATTGTTTCACGATTGTCCTTGGCTTCAAGATAACGTGCTTCATTTTTATACTTTTGATACTAAACAACGATACTTTTCATTATTTTATAGAAAAGAAAAATATTTACAGTTTTTATTATATCAGCTGGTGATTTTGTTTGAATGGTGAGGACAAAATCATCTTCCGACTGCATTTTTATATCTGAAATTGATTACATGCGTATTGTATGTAAAAAAAAATAAACGAAAATAAAGAATTAAAAAATATATAAATCTACACTTGAAACAATTTTGATATTGTTTTCTTTTAGCGAACATTACGCATATTTTTATTTTATTGTCGAATAGCTAGATCAATAATTGTACGAATAGGACGTGCTATTAAACCTTTTTTTTATACTGTATGAGCAAGAATCGCTGCTTCAGTCAAATATTCATGTTCTTCAAGTAATTGTCGAGCTGTTCGTCGATCTTTTGGATTATAAATCAATATATCCTATTTTGTTTCATATATAGAAATATTAAATAAATCAATGAATTTAATAAATTTTACTTTAAGAAATTGTCGACATTCACCAGACATTGATAAACGAGAAAGTTGAAGATCAATAAGAGGAAATCTTGGTAAACCTGTTTGATAATAAAGACATTGAGCTATTTCAGGTCATTCAGAGGCAGTTGGTGTACCCAAAAGACTGCAAATAGTATATATATATAATAGGAAATAATACATAAATATGTACCGAAAAATAAATAATAATTGATCAATTTCACATTCACCACGAAATAATGGTTGTCGAAATGTGATTTCAGCAAGTACACAACCAAAACTCCAAATATCTAATGCTGTATCTAGAAACAATAATCATTTTTATTTGATTCGAATTATAAAAAAAACAATTAACCATAGGTCGATGCATTAAGCAGTACTCCAGATGGAGGATACCATAATGTTACTATTTCATGAGTTAAAGTTTGTTCAGGCATATAACATTGACGAGCTAAACCAAAATCAGCTATTTTTAAATGACCTATTTTAATAAATTAGTCATTTTCTTTATGTAATTAATGAACAAACAAACTATAACCTTCATAATCAATCAAAATATTTGATGGTTTCAAATCTCGATGAAGCTGAAAAGTAATCAGAATATACTGTCTATAAAAAAAGAAAACAATTTGAATTTTTACAATACAATGGCAATGAAGACATTCAATAGCACTTAACAATTGGTAACTGTAACTCTACATGTAAATAATTAAAAATTTATGTAGATCAATCAATGATTTTACTTTAACAAGTCTAGGACTAAGTTGTTCACCAGATCCAAGTGCATCCGTATATCTTTTAAGATCAATTGGAAGAAATTCAAGATATAAATATAAATGATTACAATCACTATTATTCGATGGTTCAAATGCTACATGATTTAATCTAAATAAATAATTAAAAGAAATACAATAAAGGTGATTATCAATTATAGACTTGCTTAATAATATTTTCATGTTGAATTGATTTAAGAACAGCTATTTCTCTGACAGCTGTTGCTGGTAATTCATTTTCTTCTTCTTGTTTACTTGTTAATTTAATTGCTTTTCGTGCAAGACATTGATGTGTATTGATGTTACGTACACATTCAACAAATACCATATGTACCTGAAGAATAAGAATAAAAATATATATTAAGAAATAAATGAAAACCTGAACCAAGTGTTGATTCAGCAATCCATGATGATAAAAGTGATCGAATTAAGCAATTTGAACTTCAATTATAGTGCATAGTAAAATGATAAATGCTGTTGTTATTTTTGTATTTAACTCGTTTTTCCGTAGTTATCCAATGAAATAATGGTGTTAAACGGACAGTGATGGGTATAATGGTATTGTCCCGAAATTCGGGAAAAAAAATCCGGAAGAAAAAATCCGGAAAAAAAATAATTTGGAAAATATAAATCCGGAGGAAAAAAATCCGGAAAAATTCTGTGAAAAGATTCAACAGTTTATTTAACAAAGAAGCATGTACAATAAAGAAGAGAAATCGTTTGATATGAAGAG